GGAGATAAAATGTCAGAGAGTAGCCAGGCACCAGTGGCTCATGCCTGTAATCCTAGCTACCTGGGAGGCTGAGACCAGGAGGATATCAGTTCGAGGCCAGACTGGGAATCTCCATAATAACCAGAGAAAAATGAACTGGAGGTGTGGCTCAAGCAGTAGAGTGCCTGTTTTGCAAGTGAAGTCTTGAGTTGAAACCCAGGTGCACCCCCCAAAAAAACCCACCCACCACAACCACAATGTCAGAGTGACAACTTTCAAATAACAGAAACAAGACAGGACCTGACCCCTGCCCAAGGCAAAGGGTCAAACCAGGCTTTTATTTCAAAAATGTTTTTAATTCCAACATCCATCTTGATGGCCTACTGTAGAATAATTTAGCCAATAATTGCTGCTATACTAAAAACAGAAACAAATGATTTTGGCTAAAACAACCATGCCAATATTATCAAAGGGTAATGTAAGAACAAATGCACCTCAGGATGTGTTTTCACTTCCTTTTCCCTGTAGAAAGGCTTAATAAGACTTCCACATCAAAAGCAAAAGTGTTTCTTCCTCTCCTGAGACCCTGGAATATTACAAACACTCTCCCCAGAGGCAAGGCCTCCCAGAGCTCCTCTGTGTAAGATGCACCCTGCACACATCCTGTGGGTGGGGCTGAGAGGCACAGGCTGCACTGCTCAGTGTGTCTGCCACTCAACAAATGCCAGCAGTATCAACTTACTTCTCTTGAACACTGAGGTACCCCCACTGACTTGGCTCAGTGCTACGTAGCTCTGCACGCTTCAAAATTTCCCAGACAAGTGTATTTTGAAAAGAAGTACAAGTTTTAAGACAAAGGTCAGATAACAGCCATGTCACACAACTGCCTTAGCCAGAGGAAGTCTGGTAAAAACAGATGGAAGGTTTTCAGGTGCCACTGTGTTGAATTAACCACAGGAATGCTAGAATGTAAACACTGAACCTCAACATAATTATGGCACAATTAGGTATTATAACTGGCAGTGATTTAAGCAGAATTCAGGCTTCCTAAGCTATACTAATGTGCAGTTTTAATCCATTTGACATATGTGCACTGAAGTCTTCTACTAGTTTTTATAAAATCAAAGTCGATTGTCACAGAGAATCACCTGTCGTGGCACACTTTTGAGAGCAAAGCTGTAGTCTTGAACTATTCTGGGATTTCCCTGTTTAGCAAGAAATGTTGTCAGTAGTTTGCGTTGGCATGTAAGTAAGGGTGTATATATATATATATATATATATATATATATATATCTTTGATGGATCTTAAAAGGATAAAAAGAGCAGGAGTATGAAAACCAGGGAAACAAGGTGCTTAATGGTTTTCAGGTTTGCCTTCAGAGATGCAGTATTTTAAATACTGTCACAAAGGTGACTTTTAAATACATACTTCAGATTTTCAGCACTAATAGGTTGCATACATGTAGCTCATTCTAGTAATTTGGCAATTGATATTTTACTGAGTTATTACTTCTAGTGAATTGGCCATTGATACTTTATTAAATGGGGAGTTAAGAATATAAACTAAATTTTGTCTTTAATTTTTTTTCTTGGCTATTACTTTTTATGACTTAAGGTAGGAGTTATATTTTAGGAGACAGTTTTAAACAGTTTGGAAGTTTGGGTGCTATATGAAGAAAAACATTTAAGGATATATCATACTCCAATATAAACACCTTGTTTTCTTGAATGTAATTTACTTATTGGTTAAAAAAATTTTTCTGCTTTCAAGATGGTACCTATTAACCCAAACATAAATATATTTATTAGATGAAAAATATTTCTTAAATAACCACTTTTGAGCAGTAATGTTTTATCCGAGTGGATGTTCCTTTGTACATCCCGATAATTATTGCAGATGGAGTGGCTCAAGTGGTAGACTGCCTGCATAGCAAGTGTGTTAGGCCCTGAGTTCAAAATTAACCTGATAATTATGTAAACTGTTACTTAACCTCATCTTGGAAGGAAAATAAACCTTGATATTGAAACTGAAGAAGAAAAACGAAACAAAAAACTACCTGGCCTGGGGAAGTTACTGAAGGGACTTATTACAAAGGAATCGCAATGATTAGGCAATTAGAACAAAAGTCATTGAATAATGTTAGCAAAGCCTTTCTAGAACATGACTTTCATTAAAGGTTTTTAATTTTATAATTTTTAGAAATGATGAAATAAATGATTAGCTGAGGAAGACACCCTCCTCCCTCATGTATTAATGGCTGAGAAACTGAACAATTGTAATTGAAGGCACTAGCTGTGGTGTCAGCTCAGAATTTTCTTTTTCCACCTTGTGGGGTCTTAATGAACTTCTCATTTCCACCTGCTGTTGAGAAGCGCCTTCCTGCGCTAGCTCCAGGATTTGGACAGAGGGTTTCACAGGCCACAGGCAGACACAAGTTAAGTTCGTTCCTTCTTATGGCTGCCAGCTATAAATTCGGGCCTTGAGCTGCGGCTGTACAAGTGGCCCCTCGCTAGAACGGAAGAGCAAATACAACAGACCCCAAGACCCCAGGGGCCACATGGTCATCTGCACCCTGGGCAGGGTGTGGTGGCAGCCAGCCCCTCACCCAGTGGTAAATTCGGGGTAAATCTAATGACATCAGACTGAGCAATCATCTCCCTCACATGCCTTAAGTTACGGTTTCTTGAATGAAATATGAAATTTATGGGTATAGATTAGCTAAAGTCTGCACCCTGCCCAGGGTGCAGATGACCATGTGGCACCTGCAGTCCTGAGGCCTGTTGAATTTGCTCTTCCATTCTAGGGCCTGGCCACTTGTACCCTACCACTTCAATGTGTTGTCCCCAAAAAAGAACCCAGGGAGAAAAAAGGGGGGGGGTTATTTTTTAAGATCAGCTAAAAATATCAACAACCTAATATTACTTCAGGGTTCTTGATGTAATATGCCTTCTGAAAGATTTAGTTTGGCCAACTTGGAGCAGAAAATTCACTTTTTCTTCATATCTTCAATCATCATTGTCTAATTTCAACCATAAAGAAAAATTTAACAGAATTCCAGAGAAATGTTACACTCTGACCATGGGATTACTGGGACAAGGATGTCCGTTTGGAGTTATTATCAGGGAAAGACATAGAGTTCTACTATTTACTCAGCAACATCTCACCAGTGATATACATTTAAGGGGCTTTTCAAATAAACTCACTTCCAAGTTCAAAAACAGCCTTTAATGCACATTCTTTTGGAGAGGTCCTTCCTTCCTCACCACACATGTATGGTCCTGGGCTGCAGACTCACCCCAGCAAGCTGAACTGCCTCTCAGCACAGCCTCCTCTCAGCAAGTCATTTGTAGGTGGACTCATCAATTAAAAGCCAGGGCTGAACACAACACAGCATAGCTTGAAGCAACTGCCAGCAGTTCACTGCTAATTACCAGGGCAAGCACTTCAACACTGAAAAATGGGATAACCAAAACGGGTTAACCACTCTCAGACTATCAACTCTAAAATGATTTTGTCCTGACTCCTACCCATCTGTGGTAACAGTCAAAGGTAACACCTTTTAGAGGCACAATTATCATAGGCTCCTAGCCCACAATTAAGAATACTACTACAGACAGCCCCATCAGTGCAGATTCAGTTTCCCTAGCAGAAGAAGGGTTTCAGATACCGTAGTCAGAGCTCCTGAATCTATGCTTTGTGCAACATCTCCATGCCAATGTAGTCTCACCTGTAAAGCAGCTGAAGGAGTAAACAAACCATCAGCAGGTTCCCTGAAGGAAGGAGAATGGCTGTAAGTAACCTGCCTTCTGATGCCAGGCTACTAACCCAGAGAATTAGCTACCCTGTGGGATGGTCACTCGGAGTCCTCCCTGAACCTAATCCCCAAAAAGGTGATGGGAAAGAATAGAGGAAAATTTCAAACTATGCCTTTTATAAACTACTACTACTAAAAAAAAAAGCCAATTTGAAAAAAAGTATGCTGCTACTTAAATTTGAGGACATTAGTGTGGGAAAACAACTGATGAGAGCAGACTGTGTGCTTCTTTGCTATATGAGAAAGTAAATTCTGCCAGGCACCAGTGGCTCACACCTGTAATCCTAGCTACTCAGGAGGCAGAGATCAGGAGGATCTTGGTTCGAAGCTCACTCAGGCAATTAGTTCAAGAGACCCTATCCTGGAAAAAACCATCATGAAAAGGGCTGGTGGAGTGGCTCAAGGTGAAGGCTCTGAGTTCAAGCCCCAATACTGCAAGAAAAAATGAAAAAGTAAATCCTTCACATTTAATTATTTTGACTAGTTCTGATTTAACACATAGCACAAACCAAACAGGCTAAAACCTTAATAATGTCATAATATTTATTAACAGTAAATGGAGAACACAGAAGATCTATGAATCCCCTACTTACTTCTACTTTATGAACTGGCTTTTAAAAACAATCAAAGAAAAGCTCTTTTGAAGAACAAAAGGGCCTGGAGAAAAGAGAAAGTGATCATTACAAATTCTTCAAGAACTCATCAGAGGTCTTTTTAATCCACTTAAATCCAAGTATAGAAGATCAGATTCTGATCCACCATCATTTCTACATTTTTAGAACTTTTGACTCACAAATTCAAGGTGGCAATGGTATCAAAAATATCCACAGGAAAAGAATGTCACAAAATGCCTGTCAACAAATGATAGTTATTGTCCTAGAGTGGCTGCTTTTCTTTTCTGCATTTTTCAAATGTCCTATGATATGGCTGCATAATTTATATTAAAAATTACAAATGAAGAAAGAATTTAAGGTTACAAAATGTAGGTGACTTTATAAAATGATCCTTAAACAAATGTGCAGCAAGGAGATATTCGACTAAGATCAAGAAGATGCTGGCCAGAAAGGCTCCCTGGAGCCCAGGGAAGATTTAAGATGAAGTCCATCAGTAGCATTTCCCGGCAGTGCTGTCCTTGGAGACAGGAAACAGGGGGAGCCCCCTTCCCTGAGGCATCATGAACTCAAACCAAGGCATGTACAGCGAACACTGGATTTCTACATGTTTATTAGCCCTGTGTGCCTGGGGAATCTCACAGCACTTCTGAAATCTGCTCTTGATTCAGTTTCAGGAGTATGGCAGAGGGTGTGTGAGACTCTTACACAGACACCAAAATGACCAATGAACAGTTGGGGCTCACTGGCTGCAACAGCCATGGTGGGAAACCATACTGACTCACCAACATCCTTGTAAATAATGGGCTTAGGGAAAGAGTAGGTAATTGTGTGTGTGTGTGTGTGTGTGTGTGTGTGTGTGTGTGGGTCAAACACAGGGCTTTGTGCACACTGGGCAAGCACTCTAGCACTAAGCCATACCCTCAGCCAGTATTTCTTTTTCCAATTAAATTTCATAAACTCAACTATATCTATTCAAGAAACTTTATGCAGGAGGCTATAAACAGGTCTCACTCACCCTCACCTGACAGCCCACAGCAGACTCTAACCTTTCAGGAGGTTTCTTTTGGGCAATAAAAACAAAAATCTGTATTTAAAGTAGGCATGTGTTTTATAAGATAAAATTTTAAAACACATTTTCTGAATGTCCAACTGGACATTCCCAGCTAGTAAATTTACCCAGAGAGAAAGACTGCAAATGCTTGCTGTATAGGTATATGCAAACAGAAATTCCTCAGTAAGGATGTCAGAGTCCATTCTTCAAGAAATCACTCAGTCTGTACCTAACAGCTGTGCACAGACTAACTCAGCTTCCTTCCTCCATCTTTAAGTTGCATCCTCCTCCACACTGGGGCATCTGGAGGTTGGGCATTTGCCTAATCCCACGGGTCCTTGGGCGGGGTCACAGCTGCTGGCTGGTGAAGAAGGATTTAGTCTCCCTGCAGACAGGATTTACGCAGAGTGGACAGCTCAGAGTCAACTGCTTGGAGCATAGTTTGTTTGACTGGATGTGTGAGTGCACCAAATCAGCAAGGGCCTGCAAGACACACAAGGAGCACAGAGCCATCAGAAGCCAGAAGTCATCTGGTCCCACAAGTCTGCCCAGACAATCACTCTGGCTTAGGGTTCCTTTTGTGAAGCTCTTGAACTGAATTCTACAATATCTTCCTTCCCTGAGCATCTTCAGCTTAGGCAAAGTTAAAACAGTGATTTTAGGAAATGAATTCTCTTACCCCACCCACTCCACCTTTTGTCTGGAAAGCAGATATTAAAGTAGACATAGTTATAGGTGGATAGAAATAAGAAAATTGGGGCTACCGAAAGGAAAAAGGAGGGAGCCGATAAGGAATTCGATCTTATTTTTGTAATTAATTGGAACTCCAAATGTACTAATATGTGAGAAAACCAATATTCTGCAAGAGTTTCTCAGAGGATTACTCCCCGGTATGTTCTACTAAAATGGTTGTAACACTCAGATACCTTAGAGAACAATGGATTTCCATTAAGAGACTCCGCTCTTCTGATGTTTTCAACTCCACACTGAATCAAATGAGAAAAGGGAGGAAAAAAACACAGATAGACTTTATTTTCCTTTTTTTTTTTTAAAGAAACTGAGTGCTACAAAACAAATAATAAACGAATAGATTCATGTATACAACTCACAGTGTGACCTTGTATGTTCACAGATTGCTCATAAATGACAGTTATGGAATGGGTCTGTGGGTTGATTCTGTTACCATAAATTGCTCTTCAATTTCTATGTCCTTACCCCACCCCATTACCTTCCCACAGGTAGTTTGTTTCCAAACCATGCTTGAGGTTACCCTTGATGGAATTCTCAAGTAATTTAAATCTGCCTTCTTATCATTCTTTTTTTCAATTCTACATTTCTAATGCATACCCTTATAGACTCTACCTAAGCAGAATGTTGGTTTAATTAAGTAAAATTTTGGACTTACTTTGATCCCAAGTGCCGAAATGAAGGAAATTAATTTATGGGCTCTAAAATGAACATTGGATCTAGCTTGGGTCCAATGCAGAGTTTTGTTTTTAAATACATTCTTCTGGAGAAAAATCTAAGGAAAAAAAATCTGAAGATTTTTTCAGATTCAGTACCACCTTCTTCCTTGCTCCAAAAACATCCAGTTAATTATCCCCAAGTAACTGAAAACATCTGCTTATGATTTACTCAGGTAGGTAGGGTCCTCTCTTCCCCTTCCTGCTGAGAGCTTATTGGTTGACTTATCTTTCAGTTGGTATTAACATCGGGAGATGACATGGGAAACACCTTGAGAAACAGCAAACACCTAGACCCCAACTGAGGCTATATTCTAAAATTTTACAAAATGTCAATTGCAGCCAGGTGTGGTGGTGCATACCAGCTACACAAGAGGTGGAGACAGGAGGATCTTAAGTTGGAGGCCAGCTGGGCAAAGTTGGCGAGACTCTGTCTTAAAAACAAAACAAAAATACAAGGGCTTGGTGTGGTTCAAATGGTAGCCTGCTTACTTAGCACGTACAAAGCCCTGGGTTCAATCCCCAATGCTACAAAACAGATAGACAAACAAAAAACAAAGTCAGTGGCAGCAGAACAACCAGTGCCGGTGGAGGGCATCCTCCCACACTGCTGATGGGAGTCAATGGATATGCTTCTGAGAATAAGCTAGAAAAACATGTCAACACTGAAATGCCTTTCCAGGAACTTGCCCTCAGAAAATAATTGGAAAAATGAAAATATTTATTATAGAGTGGTCTATGACAGTGAAAATCAAAAATGCCTTAAATGTCTACTGATCAGAGATTTGTTAATAAGTAACTATATAATCTAAATATATTTACCTACTTGGATCCAAAATATATTTTTAAGAAAGAAAAAAGAGATTACAAAAAATAAAATGTCATTTTTGTTAAACAAGTACAATCTTATTTTTACTAAAATACACATATATTTAGAAGAAAATGGGTCCTATGCTTGTGCTGACAGCACATATACTAAAACTTAAATGATATAGAGAAGATTAGCAAAGCCTCCATACAAGGATGAAGGACAGGTTTGTGAAGCATTCCATATTTTTTTTAAAAAAGAAAACAGACCTATTTTTAATCAAAATATTAAAAGCTGTTCTCCTGGGGAGCAAGATTAAGAAAGTACTCTACTCTCTATGCTATGCTTCTCTGTACTGTCTGAGATTGTTATTATTTTTATTATCAAATAGCAATAGTCATTTCTATTTTGGGAAAAAAATTAAGCTTTTTAAAGTTAGCTCTTTTAAACGTTCTTTTAAACATTCTCCCGTCAAAATAATGACAGGTGGTTTTCTTTATTCTTATTTATAAGGACTGATTCTCTATAAGTCACTGATAATCCCTTTGATTAGTAAATAATGACCTTGGCCTAAGAATATGAATAAATGTAAAGTCTCATTCAATACACAAAAACTCATTTTCAAACCCTGAAATCAACTATATTTCCACTGAAGTCTTTTTTAGCAAGTTTACAATTAGCCAAGGTTCACAGCAGGGATTCAGATGCATCGTTAAATGAAACCCGTAAACAATGCTGAAATCTCATTTTTTCCAATTACAACTTTTCATAACTACTGACAAGCAAATGTAGGCATTCCCTAGTCATTGGTGTTTGACTGATGACCAGCAAAACACACAAATAACAGGGGGCCAGGGGCTGGTTCAAGTTCTGCCCTACCCAATCTCTACTCTGCCCCACACCTGCCACCCAGTCCCAGAGAGGGTGCAGTGTTCTGTGGCCAGGCTTCCATCAATCATACATGCATGGGATGACAGGCGCTCTGGCAGAAGACAGAAGGAAAAAGGGCTGATTTCTGAGGGAACTGCACTTCCCTCAGAAACACAGCTGTAAATTGGATGAGGGTTTCAGGCAGCTCTCAGAAGCCAGGAGATAGGTGAGCAATAGTTTTTCTCTACCCTGAACAACAATTCACATCCATCTTACATTACAAGACACCAAGGTTGGTATTTGTTATTTCAGTAATCAGATTGATTACAACATGGTAGCAAACAGCTAATTAAGTGAGTGCATAAAAGAGGTCAGGGAAATTACAACACGCACTGCTTCTGTGTTTGTTCTGTGCTCTTCTCTGAAACAGCAGTGGCTCCTAAATGCCTCAAAACTCAACCAGAAGTAGCATAACACAAGAAAAGGACTCCAATGTATTAGATGTGTCCTTATTCCATAAGAATAACAAACATTTCTCCCTTAGAGCTGATGAGATGTACAATTCTCCCACTGCTGACATGGAGCTAACTTGACAGCTGGGATTATTATTCAGACTGTGTATTATTTAAATCAATGAGGACACAGTAATACAAACACACAAAATAAACAATGCTTTGACTGGCACAATTAGATAGTTACAGACAAAGTTTCCTTTTAAAACAAATCATGATGGGATTAATAAGCCAGATGGGGGCACTTACCTCCTTGGCTAACACTTGGGAGTACTCGATATCCAGTTCGTACAGTGTTTCGATGTGATCACTGGTAAATGCTATTGGAACCAGAAGGATATTCTTCCTCCCCCTCTCACAGAGTCCTTTGATGGCCTCATCTGTTTGAGGACCCAACCAGGGTACTGGACCAACCTATGGGAAAGGATGATGAACACGTAAACGGAACATTTCTCTTGATGCAGCTGTAGGACACAACCTTCCCCTGCCCTGAGCATACACCTGCCCATCAGGGACAAGAGCCACACTTACACCTGCTTAAATGATTTATGGTACTACCACGTCAAAGACTGAATTCTTCTAGATGTTAGCCCAATATAAATAACAATTTGTCATTATTACTAAAAATAAAATATTAAACCAATGAAACTCTATTGGTCACATGATTTCCTCTTCTATCTTTCTTGCCTACAGAATTCTTTCTGCCCATGTTGAGCAATCAGGTTACAAAACAGTCTGTCTGTGAAAGAGTCAAATCTAACCATTTCATAACTAAGTTCTAAAATAGATGTTGCTCAAGAGCCAAGGGCCCCAAATATATGGAAGCCACTGACCTTGGACTGCCAAACCAGTCGGTAGGGGTTGGAGTAACCCAGCCTCTCCATCACTTTGTGGACAGTGGCGCCTACCTCCTGAGGATAAGGGTCCCCTCTGTTGACCACCTGCAGCAGAGAAAAAAAATGGCATTCAGTCACCAACAATGTAAAGGGCTCCATGAGCCTCAAATCATGTGGTGACATGGTGTGAGCCCTGGACCAAAGTCTTCCTTTCTGTCTGCTGACACTTTAATCTGAGGAGTCCTGGATCTTCCTTGGTTCCATTTCTACTTTAGCCAAAAAGAACACTGCACTCCTAATTCTATGCTCCATGTTATTGGGGGCAGGGGTAGACAAGGCCTGACTAAGGAAGAAGGTTCTCTTTTTTCCCCCTTTCTGAGAATGGGAAATGACACAAAAAAGCTGGGCAAAAGAGTTAACCTGGGATGGGGATGTCTACTTTGGTAATCATGTGAGTGGTTGATTTGTAAGCAGGAATGACCAATGTATAGAACTGCTGAGTTTTTAGTAAACACTAGTGGAACAAAAGGAGGAAAGAAGCAATTCATGGTTCAGACTACAGGTGCCTCAGGAATGTGAGCTGCTCCTTCTACTCCTTTTTCTTTTTCCACAGTAATGGATGGTAGGCAAGTGCTTTATGCAGAGCAAATGTTTGGGACATGTTCCTGACAGAATAGCCTGTTAATACCTGTGAAAATGTTCAGGACAAATTTTAACTGCTTTAATATTTCATTGTGTACTGACTCCCTAACACCTTTACCCCACTGTATTTATTTATTTATTTATTTTGGTGGTGCTGGGGTTTGAACTCAGGGCTTCACACTTGCTAGATAGGTATACTACTTCTTGAGCCACACCTCCAGCCCATAATCTACCATCCTATATTCTTTATGCATTATACTTAATATCTTTTCCAGCTACTCTCCAGGGACAAAGTTTTTGTCTGTTTTCTTCACTTTCATATCCTATATGAAAGTACCTAGAATATAATAAGGTGCTTGATGAATACTGAATTGTCGAAATGAAACACTAAAACAACTATTTTATGTTGTTACTCATGGTTAGATATCTTAAATGCATAAACATAGAAGGAAATATAAAGCTGCCACTGGGATGGTACAGTAATGATTGCCATAGGCAATCATCAGGGATGCTAAAATTAGTGGCAAAAATCAGGAAGAACAAAATGTTTGTATAGTTTCAAAGTATCTCCTCCAAGATATTTTTAATTACAAAGAGAAAAACAGTAGCTTTACAATGGAAAAACCCGTCAGAAACCACCTGAAACAAATGGCTAATGATCACGTCACCAGTGGAAAAAATACTGACACCCTGGGCCCCCTGATCTAATATGCTGAGAAGGCTGTTCTTGACAATACTGTGTTCTTCCCAATAACACATAACTACAGTCTGATGATGAGAAAACACCAGACAAATCCAAATGGAGAGACATGCCACAAAAGAAATACAGTTCTACAAAATAACTCCTTGAAATATCAAGGTGACGAAAAAGCAAAACCATAGATTGAAGGATTCTGAGGAGATGTGACAACTAAATGCAGTGTGGGATGCTGATTGGATCCTGGAACTGAAAAAGAATGTTTGTGGAAAAACAGATGAAATCTGAATAGTTTGGAGTTTAGTTAATAGTATCAGTGCTCATTTCTTAGTTTTGGCAACTGTATCATAACTGTAAGACGCTGGTATTAGAGGAAGCTGGTGAGGAGCATAAGGAATGCTCTGCAATCTTATTCACTTTCTTGTAAGTCTAAAAATTATTTCAAAATAAAAGTTTAAAAAGTCATCAGAAGCAACTGTTGGAAAAAAGAGAGTTTACTTAATCAGTGTTCTTTCTGGACCACCCTAGCTCCTTCCCTACCCTGCCTTATCTCCTGACTGCATGGCAATCCTCAGTCCCACAAGGCCTCCTGGAAGCAGCATGCTCATGCCTGCAGAATGGACAAGGCGTGAAGCTGGGGGTGCAAAGCGGCAAGGCAGCATCTGGAAATGTTCCTATGTAAATGTTCTCTTCCTTCCCTCATCGAGAATTTCCCTCTGGCGCCTTGGGTCTCATCACACATAGGATGGACATGCAAAGAGGATTTGCGTAACACCAGAAAAGAGAATATGATTCTTTGAAAATGAAACAGGTAGGCTTCCAGCAGGAGAAATTTATCTCCAGAACCACCTACTGCTGAAGCAGCAACTGCGTTCCTTAGTTGAAGTGTAGGAGATGGAAAGCTGCACAGGGCTTGATTCTGGTGACCACTAGGTGGCAGTAAGGAGCTGCGAGCAGAGGGGCCCCCATTCTGAGGCACACTCCATTAAATGCGTAGTTCAAATTGAATCACACTTAAGAAAGTGTGACTCTCCCTCTCTCTGGCTCGGAAGGCAAGGTTTTTAGGGCACAATTCTGATGAAAGCCTTTTTATATGCCATAAAGTGCTTTGGCATGATCTTTCTCATTTCTAGAAATGGAATAGCCATGGCACAATGGCAGTATTTTAATGAACAACCTGGTGTAATGTGATGAACTGAGGAACAACTGGATCACAAGCTGATATGTTGGACATATTCTCTGTGGTGGTCCCTAATATTAGCAAATCGGGATCTGTTATTGCTTCCTGGCATTCAAATGGTAACTATCAAGTTATTATTATTATTATTATTATTATTATTATTATTGAGGACAGAAGAATTAGGATTGCGAGCATTGGTCTGAGTGGAGGCTGGCTCTACTACCCAGCACACCAAAACATCAGGTCGAGCTCCTTCAACAGTACAAGGAAAAGCAGATTTCTTTTAGCTACCCTACTTGTTAGAAACTCTTTTTTCTGATTATAACTTTCAGTTATTTTAAAGATGGTTATTAAGACAAGGTCTATTTATAAATTTTATAATTTGAATTAATTGTTATGAGGTTTCAAGAAATATAGGTTAGTACCAAGTTAAGATTGGGACTTTAGAGTTCATTCTTGCACTGGGCTTAGGATAAAATAGGTCTGGGTACATTTCACACATCTAGAAAATGAAACAACTACTCCTCTACCAGCAGGTCACCCAACTAACATTCTTACTTACAGACATTGGCAGTGAGTGAGCAGAAAACAGAATGACCACTTCGCTTTTCTTCTCAAGTGGAAAACGGTCCAATTCTTTCAGAATGTGGTCAGCAAAGCACTGTGAGGATTCCAAGAAAGGAGAAGGGGAAGTGGGAAGAAAGAAATGGAAGGAGCAAACTTATTTCACAAATGAGAGATATCCCAAAAATCTCAGAGCAATTCTCAAAAAACAGAATTCTCTGTTTAAAAAAATTGCAAACAGTACAGTCTCTTTGCTTTGGTTCATCATCAAAATGGATCATAACGGTTTCAGGGGCCTAGGGAATTTGATGGGAAACTTCTAAAGCTCACTAATGGCTCACTGCAAATGAAGGCTGTGGGTCTGCTTCCCCTCGGGAAGAACAGGGCACACTTCCAGATGGAAAGGAAACACAGATGGGAAGGAGAAGTCATTTTAAGACCTCTCATTTGCTCCGTTAGCAGGAAAACAGCTTACAGGGTCTTTCTAAATCTTCCTTACTTTGGCTTTCAGGCATATCACATTAAAATACATTAGCCAGAAATAGAGAAATAAGAAAATACTCTTCTATTTTTATGACATCTTTCCCTGAGAGTCCAGAATTCTCACTGAAGCAGTCTTCCTCCTGACCTTCCTAATGACAGATAGGCTGTACAACCCCATTAAAGGCACAGAGGGGGAAAAGATGTGGGGGGTATGGGGGCCATCTTGCCACATCTGTGAAGTTGGGCTAGACCTCAGGCCCTGCTGCCTCCAAACCTCTGTCCACCAGACTGGTTCACTCCCTTGGTGTAGTTAGCACTTCTCAACACACATCCATAGGTGCTGAAATGCCAGATCTGAAGAGGCTTTCTTTCATCTCACACTTTAATCATTTTTTGTCACTTAACTTATAAAGAAAATGCTACAAAGGATAATAATGAGTCAACTGACAAAACTGGAAAATGAACAGAAATTGGATAAAAGTTGAGAATATCAGTGTTAAATTTACTATTAAGGGACATGAGTAAATTGTATTCATGTAAGAGAACAGCTCCTATCTTAAGAAATACACTGTCAAGTATTCAGGTCTAAAAGGTAGTGATGTATATACAACCTGCTCTCAAATGGTTCATGTGTATATGAATATGTATAAATATGTATATATATCAGACATACAGATATACATACACACACAGACCATGAAAATGACAAAATAAGAAGTAATGTTAATAATACGTGAATATTGGTAAAGTACAAATGAAAGCTCCCTATACCATTCTTAATATTGTAATTTTTCTGTATGTCTGAAATTATTTCCAAATAAAAAGATTTTTTTTTAAATTGTAAAAGACAATTTACCAGAACAATACAAATTTTCACCTTTTGATCTTTTGATAAATAAGTGGTCAGCCAATATTATGGGATGTGCAAACTCTTCTCTAATAAATACTAAGGTATTATTAATCATTCCAGAATTTTCAAAATTTGGTAAATAAATTCCCTAAGTCAGAATTTATAATTTACCTATAGGATAAATGTGACAATATTTGATACAAACCAAAGCTATTATTTCTGGCGTTCTCTGCATGTTGGGAAACTAAGAATGCTCAGAAAGGATCACGTTTAAGGAGGCCTCCGAGGACTTGAGGAGCCCGGGATATACACTGACTGTAATTACTCCAACAGCTAGCTGAACAGCCATATGAGAGAATAGTAATTTACTACCCGTAACAAGTAGAAATGCAGCATAAGAAAAATACTTTTAGTTTTAAACTCTGATTTCTGTTGAGTTCAAGTTTTGAATTCAAGTTGAGGTTTAGTTTTGATTTTTCATATCCAAAAAATTTCCTATCTTATCCAGAGTTCATTCAGGGTTGTTGGCTTTTCCTTTTCTCAGCTTGCAAAACTGCAAGTACACCATTCGTTCCGGCTTGCCACAGTGCCTAAGCCACCTTGCAAACTGGGGTGCCACAAGCAGAAGTGCTACCTAAGTCCCCTAAAACCCATCTGCGGGCTTGTCTGCGCGGCCCGGTGCAGAATGAAAGAGCCCGGCGCCTCTCCGAGCCTTCAATCACACATCCAGGAGGGCGGATAAACGCCTCTAAAATTCCCTTTCATTTCATGAACACAGACTTCCTCAGTTAAGAGGCCTTGCCATCTTTCTGCTTCCCCCTTTTCAAAGGGCTGAATTTTAATGCAAATCTAATTACTCCCTGCATCAGGGCAGGCAGATGCTGTGCAGATCCCTCGGTTCCCTGCACATGTCCACGGACCTGAGCAGCCCGGCTTCCCAACAAGACTCCCAGCGGCTGACAGAGGACGGCCAAGGCTGGGCCCAGGAGCACAGCAAACGGCGGGGCAGGGCCACCGACACCCATTCCCAGGGGAGTTCCTCCTTTTCACTGTTCACTTAAAACGAGGTGAAGGCTCGCGTCAACCCTTCAACCGCCGACAGGAGGCTGTCTGCTCTGGGGAGAGCCGGGCGGACTTTAATGACGGCTAGCACCATCTAGTGGTCACAGACAGTAACTGCCCCAAGCTTTCACAGAAGCAACGGGGTATTTTGTCAGAGAATGTTCAAAGAATAAAAAATAAACTGGATAAAATCGAAGTCACTTCATATTTCTCCCACCTAAAATAACTCAAAAGCAGAAACTTCTACTGAATAAAAAAACCTATGTGCACCACAGAACGATATTTCACTACACGCTCATAATTGAAATGAAAAAAATAACACCAATTCAAAGCCATTGGTTCACGAATTATAGTTTTAACTAATTCCCTTAAAATCAGCTAATATATTTATTAATATAAATATTATAAAAATGAGCTATACTGGAGAAATGTGTAACTCCTTTTAATATATGAAGCGTTCCCCACTGAGATATTACATTTATTTTCATATCTCAGAACACATGGCTATACTGCCTTTACATTTTAGTAATCTTTTGACATCTTAAAGGATTTAGGAAATAGAGGGTTTACATAATCTGTCAGTCATTCAGTCTCTGAATGTAAATTAGCTGAGACACCAAGTACTATTTTTAACATTGTTCTGATCACTGCTTGGCACAAAACTCAAAATCTAATTTTGTTATGATTTGGAACCACATGAATCTGAAAAAAAGACAAGAGTGTAACCATTTTAAACTTTAATTTCATTTCCCTTTGCATAATAAACTAAGAACTGAATACTACTTAAAAAAACAAACTCCAGTATATAATTTAAGTGAGAACTGTAGGGCTCAGAAGGTCACTGCACACCAAGCAGGAAGAAGAATCTGAGTCACAGCATATATCAGGGTGACAGAGGATGCTGGCAGCTGAGGCTTACCTGGATGAGGAGGGGGTGTGTGGGCCACCTGTCAATAGTGCTCCACTTCATGGTAGGCTTCTTTCCCACCTCATTATAGTATCTATAAATGGCATTTAAGCTGCTGCCTGAAATATATGGGGGGGGGGAGAGGCACTTAATAGACACATTTTGATTATGGCAAAAATTAAAATGACTATAGTAAAGGCAGTAATTGTAAGTTCAAAGTAGGTAACTGCTTCTATTCAGAATCCCAGTCTAATTACAATCTTTTCAATACTCTAAAATGCATATAGATTTAACTAGCCTGCAAATGAAGATCACTAAAAAGCAATCAATTTCCACAGACTGTCAAAGATTATTGAGGCCATTTCTACTGAGAACGTGATGGCTGCAGGCTTATGAAATATAAGCAGCTGTTACTTGCAGGGATCAAGTCTTACAATTGAAAGCATGTGGAAAAAAATTTCCCATTATGAAGGGAATCAGCCCCATTACAGAAAATGTAGGAGGTGAGGAAGAAAACAAGGAAAAGGGTTATTATCTCAGCACACTAATACAGTCATTGTTTTATTCTGGCATACTTGTTTTCAGGTATTTTTCTTTATAATTGTTTTGCTTTACAATGTTATACTGCTAGGATGGACATAATTCTGCATCTAGAGTATTCTGGACATTTTTGCTTCACATTACAAGATAAATATTTTCCATGTTACAATAAAAGCTTTGTAACTACTCTTTTAATGCTGTCATGATAAGGCAAGAAACCTACTGAGTTTCTACCAGCACTCTTTATTATTATCTGTTAAATGGACACCAAATCCTAACATGTAATGTAAAAAAAAAAACAAAACAAAACCTTGCATTTCTAAGTGAGAGATGAAAAATTGTAGCCTACAGGATGGCCTATGTTGACAACCCAAAGCAACATTTTCCTGGCTGAGGGAAACTAGTCTTGAGGCCAAACTAATACTATGAAGCCAATCCTGACAGAGGCCTCTTATTCAGTCTTCATACAGATTCTCATGCTTCCCATCTCCCATCTCCTGGGTTCTCTATCATAGAAACTAGGTTAACTAGGTTATCTAGGTTTCAAATTTAGGAGCCTAGTCAGGACAGAGCCATATTTTATCTCAAATGTATGCTTAGGCTGAGATTCAACTTTCAAATAACAAATGGGTTCAACTTTGATGAATGAATTATGAGAATCCAAACTGAGTCCAATCAAGGGTCAAAAATAATCTCTCTAGAAATCAAAGTAGTCATAATTCTAGTCACATCCAAACCACATTCTATAGGTAGATACCACTTTCAGATGTACAAAAGGCTTCTAAAAGCTGCATTAGTTCTCTTAGGTCACTCAAAAACATTCACTAAACTACCAGAAGTAATTAAGAAGGGGAAACTATAACAGAGACGGATGCTATGAGAGGTGCATAGAATATACTGGCTCTGGCATACCATGCCCGTCTAAAAGATGCTAGGGTACTCAAAGCATAAATGTTTCCAAAACGCTTTCACAGCTCAGAAGTGAAGATGTTCTGTCCTTACACATGGGAGGCACTACAGAGCATGCCCTGAAATTCTGAACACATAATAACAGCCAGCTGGGAAATGAAACATAAGGTCAATTCTTTGCCATAGAAATAAAGATCTTAATTTAATTTCCCTGCTTTTGAGAGCAGACATTTATGTGTTAAGGTATATTTGTAAGACAAAACAAAAATATAGATTAAAAATTCTAAGATCCAACCCACTCTCAGACATTATATTGCTAGATATCTTGAAGTTGTGGAAGTAGTTAATTTCCATTAGAAGTCACAATAAAACTTTTGTGGGGGGTATGAGAGCGCGAGCATTTGAACAGGTGCTCTGAATCAATCTTTAAGGCCTATGACAAGCTCTGAATGTTTCTTCCGGTAGCCTTTTGTTTCTCCTGATAGTTATATAAAGAGTAACACTGATATCTAAAAGCAATGTGCTGAAATGTGCTGAGCTCAATCCTGAAACAGAAGGCAAGCAAATGTATTTGTGGGTGACAGTAGAAGTTTTAGCTATGGCTGGAGGTGTGGTTCAAATGGTAGAGCACATGCCTACCAAGTGCAAAGTCTTGAGTTAAACCCCAGTACTGCCAAAAAAAAAATAGAAGCTTTACCTACGATTAACGATACAAAGCTTGCTACGCACTGATTATTCTCCACTTCAGTTAAAAACCAGGGGCAGAAAGCAGTTTGCAAAGGGAACCCCAGACTGGGTTTTAGTTCAAGCAATAATCAACCCATAACTGAATGAAGCACACACACATAAATATCAATGTTTCCCATATTTATGGGCTTCTTTGCTTTCAAAGTGAAAATATCTATGACCTTTACTATATTAATAAGAATATCAGGATAGACATAAAAATAAGGTTATGTTACAAACCTAGAAAGTGGTGTAAGGTTCATTACCAATCCATTACCCAAGTGCATTAAAGCACCAAACATGAACAGCCACTGCCTTCCATCCACCATTTGTAATTCTCCACTGACTGGCCAATAATTCAAGAAACAGATGAACCATGAGATTTCAAATGGACTGACCTGAACTCTCAAGTTTAAAGGAGACAGGCCACATTTGCCACTCAGATCACAAATGCTTTATCCTTTATTTGGCACTCATAGTCCCGGGGTTGCTTTACCAGGACTACGTCTACCTTCCCATTGTCAAAGAGTCGCCCTTACCCGTGGTAGAGCAGCTGTACTGTGGATACTGCGTGAAAGCAATGGCCCTTTCTAAGCCATCTCTCTCCATCTCTTCAATTGCTTCTTCTGTTAAAGGATGGACGTACCGGAATCCAATATAGTATTTGTGAGGAGCTATTAGGAAGCACAAGAAGGAGAAAGTATTAATCTTTATATAGATTTCTTGGAGTCACCAAACATAATGGAATGCCCAGAAGTTAACCTAATTTCCTAGAACACTGCTAATGTGGGCAAGTTTAGATCCTTGGATCTTGTCCATTCTTTAGCTTGTATGAGGACTTTATTCACTATTTTCTGGGATCAACACCCCACCCCCACACCTCTACTTACTTGGTTTTTAAAATTCAAGCATCTACTTCTTAATTCTCTGTTTTTGGCTCCGATAAGACAGGCTCAAGAGAAGGGAAGAAAAAGGTAGCACTTACTCTTAAAATATAACTTCTTCACCCAGTGAGGTGGTATACACTATAATCCCAGCACTTGGGAGGCAGAGGCAAGAGGGTCATAAGTTCGATGCCAGCCTGGGCTACATAACAAGACCTTGTCTCAGAAAACCACGGGTTGGCTGGATCTGGTGGTACACACCTATAGTCCCAGCAATTGGAAGGCAAAAGGAGGAGGATTGAAAATTTAAGACCAGCCTGGGGTATTCAGCAAATTCAAGCCAGTTGGGCTACACAGTGAGACCCTGTCTCAAAAAATAAAACAACAACAAAAATTAAAACAAGGGCTAGGAAGGCTGGGAACATGGCTCAGTGGTACAGTATTTGCCTTGTATGCTTGAGGCTCAGGTTCAATCCCTATTACTGAGAAGCAAAACAAAATAAAACAAACCATTATATAAAACAAGGGCTAGGGATATAGTTCAGAAGCAGAACACTTGCCTAGCAAAGCCCTGCGTTCAATCTTTACACCAATAAATAAATAAATAAATAAAAGTTAAAATTAAAAAAGAGTGTAACCTCTTCTTGCAAACATTGCACTATTTTTCTTACACTCCCCACTGTTCTAGATAAGAAAACAGAGATGTTGGACTGACCTGTCCAGCCACACCTGGAAGGAAGTCAAACTGGAATTGCAACCCCAAAGCCCAAGTTCCTTCCAAAGCCCTGCCTGTTCCCACCATCCACTTCCCTTAGACCCTGGACCATCTAGTTTATAAACAAATGCAAAAACTCTGAGACTCATGATAAAGTTAACTGACAACATAAAGCCACACTCAAGTTGCACCCAGCAAATAGGGTTTTAAGTAATTTTCTTGTCCCCAACGGCCCAAGTCTGCTGGGTCTCTTTGTGTTCTTCCCTTTTCTCTTCTTTATCCTGCATTTTAAAGGCATCCACATCACATAATTTATCAGGTATTTAAAAAATCATAAAACTGAAAGCTTCCTGAAGCTACCTTATCCTACTTCCTTGCCTTTTCAAAAAATTACACAAAACAAATGCGTGAAATGTGTAGCATGATGCTTTTTAATTTGTAGCAGATCCTTAAAAGCAACTGAGGCCAATAGGAAAAGGGGACCAGGAACTACAGAAAAGGTTAGATCAAAAAGAATTAACCTAGAAGGTAACACGCATGCACAGGAAATTAATGTGAGTCAACTCCCTGTTTGGCTATCCTTATCTCAACCAGCAAAAACACTTGTTCCTTCCTATTATTGCTTATATTCTCTCTTCAACAAAATTAAAGATAAGGGCAAAATAGTTTCTGCTGGGTATTGAGGGGGTAGGGGGGAGAGGGAGGGGGTGGAGTGGGTGGTAAGGGAGGGGGTGGGGGCAGGGGGGAGAAATGACCCAAGCTTTGTATACACATATGAATAATAAAACAATAAAAAAATTTGTAGCAGATCGTGAACTCTGCCTGCAATGAATGATAAAAGCTCACATTTAGTGAATTTTTACCAGGTACTGTGCTAATGCCTTTCATGATTACCTTTTAAAATTTTTTTGGGGGGCAGACTGGGGTTTGAACTCAGGGCTTCACACTCACAAGGCAGGCACTCTTGGAAAGCAGGCACCCCACTGCGTGAGACACAACTCTAGTTCATTTTGCTCTGGAGATGGGGGTCTTACAAACTATTGCTCATTTATTTTGGAGACAGGGTCTCACAAGCTATTTGCCCAGGGCTGGCCTCAAACCACAATCTGCCAAGATCACAGAGGTCCTTGACCAGAAAGGGCTCAGGGAAGGAATGAACAGACGAGACAAAGGAAAGTACTCATTCACCCAGGAAGGGAATGACAAAACACATATTGAGAGGGCCAGAAGGCTGATGACCAACTGGAAAAATTTTATTTTTCTCAGCAAGCTTTATACAAAAGAGGAAGAGACTTAAACATCAAAAACACTCTGACCTGTTACAACCTTTCTGGTTTTGCCACTTTGCATTCTTACTGCCAGTGTCCTTGACTAAGTATAAACTTCTTTTCAGTCAAGGGAAACCACTCAGCGTTCCTTCCCACCGTGATAGAGACATGGTGCACCTGCAGATTCCGAACTTGTGGGAATGTTGCTAAGCCACAGTGACCTTGTCAGACTGTGGCTTTTGGTTCCCAACAACAATCCTTCCAATCTTGGCCTCCCAAATAGCTAGGATTACAGATATGCCCAGCTATCTTTGTTAATTTTCACCAGGACCCTAAGAGTGAATTTTGTTATCCTCCCTTTTGGAGATGTGGCTAAGTAAATTGCCTGAAGTTATATAGCCAGCAGGAGACCATCCATTCATGCTTTCCCCCAGCAATCCTGGAATGCTGAGCACTGTAGTAAGTTATTCAGAGGTAAGGAAGCTGCTGAGGAAAGTAGACTGTGAGTAAATAGCCCAAAGTCACTAAACAAAGTGATGAGCTACAGTCATCTATCAAGCAGGAGAAAGCCAAGATTTAACTTGCCTGCCTCAGAGGGCCCCAACATGGGCTACAGAGGATGGTGGCTTGCCAAAGGACTATTGGTAGCCTGCCCACCAGGACCAGGACCCCATATGAGCTTCCAATACCCAGAGAAACCAAAAAAATCCCCACAAGAAGTAACTGCCTGCCTCAGTGAAAACTAGCAGGCAAGCCCACTCTTTGAGGGAGTGGTGGGGCATGCTCACTGCTCTATGCCTCTGTACTGCACCTGACCTGTAGTTAGTGCTCACACAGATTTGATGGTTGGTTAGATAGATGAGGTCAGATGGGTGTGGGAATTAATGGATGAAAAGTGGGGGGATGAGTAAATGAATGGAACAAGAAAAAGAGGAAAGACAATTTTCTGCCATATTAGGAGTAAATTAGCAAGCCACTGAACTTATCCCCAAAGTTATAATAAAAAGTTATAATAAAAAATAGTGGACTTCTAAAAATAAGTTTCTAGAGGCAGAGTGCTTAATCATTGAATAGTTTAAAAAATCACTTCCACTAAAATTTCCACTACAAGTATGAAGTAGGTATTATTATTCCTTGACACTTACCAAAGCAGAGGATAGTTAATCCCAGAACCTACATGCCTATAACTTCCTGTCTTGGTACTACAAGGCCACACATTAAAATGATCAGACATTTGAACCAGACATGGTGGCGCACTCCTGTAAACCTAACTACTCTAGAAACAGACATAGGAAGACTGGGGTCCACGGCCAGTTGGGGCAAAAGTGTGAGACCCTATCTGAAAAGTAAGTAAAGCAAGAGAGGGGCTGGAGGTACGGCTCAAGTAGCAATGTACCTGCCTAGCAAGCACAAAACCCTGAGTTCTAAACCCTGTACCACCAAAGAAAAAAGAAAAAAATTCAGACCTTTGATAGTGAGACAGTAGATTAAACACAGGTCATTTCATGGGACTCCCAGCCAACCTGGAAGGCTGAGGCTACAGCTGGCCTGACTAGTTTAGACGATCAACAACCTCATCATCACAAAGACCATAGAGGTAGGAGAAGTGGGAAGGATGCCCTTCTGTCTGTTTTCCTTTCTTGAGTCTGAAATCTTTTTTTAGGGCTCTTTATGTTGATGGGTGCTATAATAATATATAAAACAAAACAAAAAAGCCACCTTCCCCCACTCTTCTTTCTACTAACAAATGGCATGTCTGACTCTTGCTAGACCTGTTATCATGATAAACTGTGAAGGATGGGAGAGCTGGTTCTCCACAGGTAGGGGTAAGTAGAGGGCAGCCAACTTTCTCTTTGCCAGCATTTAAAAAGATGCCCTGTGGCATGTGTAGCCCTGAAAGCAGGACACAGACCTAACATTCAGAAGCACAATCAAGCAATTTTCCAAGTGAGATGATGTGTTAAGGGGCTAGATATCTGTGTCCTTTTAAGCGAGGGGGTAGGCAGCTTCTGAGAGCAATGCAAGGGGATACTCAATGATGCCTTCTCAGAGAAGAGGGACTCTCCTCTTGGTGCAGCACTACCAAGAACCCTCTGTGAGGGTTCCCACAGTATCACACTCCTGTCTTGGACCCTGAAACCCTAAAATGTAGTTGCCGCTTTTTGGCAGTACTGGGGTTTTGAACTCAGAGCCTCACACATGCAAGGCAGGCACTCTACCACTTGAGATACTCACCAGCCCTCTAAAATGCATTTGTAATGAATGCATTTCATGTGTGTGTCCTAACATGCACATTTTTTTTCAGTTTTAACATTTCTCATATTGGCTCATGCATTAATACCATACAAAAAAATGGTGAGTTCTGCAATCAAGTTGTGTCTTGGATGCGATTAGATGCAGGACTGGTGGTTCCTTTGTGCATTTGGTGTTTCATTCTGTGCATGGCAACTTTGGAGAGGTTCTCAGGGGGAGTTACCAGATGAGCACAGTCCTCTTTTTAGAGCCACATCCAATGTGGCTCTTCAATACTTTCCAACAAGGGTGGTGCTGAAAGCTGAAAGCAGCTGCTCAAAGTTGCTTAGTGTCTTGTGGTTTCAGTGACAGCCAGCCAGTTCTGCTCTGAATGCTGATCTGATTACTATGCAATCAGTAAGAAAAGGCCAATGCACCAATCCTGAAACAGTGATGTCCAGTGCAAAGATATGTGTATCTCCATTCATGGTATGTCACTTCTGCCTTACAATCTACCTGAAACTTCCTTTGGAAATGAAATTTTCAGTTTATTTATCTGTAACATAGGAAGTAATGGAAAAGCATCTATAGTCAAAGGCTAAGGTCACTCAGTTAAGTGACCATGTGTTATACAGAAACTCACAAATTGAGAGTTGCTAGTACATATAACAGCATTTGGCTGGGTTCTGGTCGCTCACACCTCTAATCCTAGCTATTCAGGAGGCAGAGATCAGGATTGGGGTTCAAAACCAACTCCAGGCAAATAGTTCACGAGACAGTATCTCGAAAATACTCAACACAAAAAAGGGCTGGTGGAGTGGCTCAAGTGGTAGAGCACCTCCTAGTGAGCATGAGGCCCTGAGTTCAAACCCCAGTACCGCCAAATGAACAGACAAAAAAATAGCATTTGGCACCTAGTACCATTTTGAATTTCCTAACTTTGAAAGAACAAAGCAAGCATTATGCAATAAATAAACACCACACCTGTGTCAGGGGACAACTCATCCAGTAGCTTCACCATGCCTTCTCCTTGCTTGCAAGTCCACATCTTGATGGGTGATCCACCTCCGATCCTGCGATACTGCTCTTGAATTTTGGGAGTTCGGCGTTTGGCAATGAATGGTGCCAGCTTGCTAAATCATTTAACATGTAGGTAAGTGGATTTTATTCCACTTTAGCAACCTCAGAAACACTTTCTACTCAATAAAAAAGAGATAAGCAAAACTTTAAGAACCTAACAAGATCAAGTCTTTAAAAGAGAAGCTTGAGGTCAATGACAACAGAGTACAGATAAGAGACCTAAAGCTAGATACCCACTAAGAAATATCTGCCTCTGTACTCTATAAATTGTTCTAGCAGCACATGCTGAAGATTCCAGACAGCAGACACTCATGCTGAAAATTCTGGGCCTGTGCTAGCTACAACCTTACATTCTGATTCTATATTTAAGGATAGAAAATACATAACACATACATTGCTCTTAATTTAACAAAATGAATCCTACCCATATAGACAGAGTTGCACATGTGGGCAAGGATGTATACAAAAATGTTCATTGCAACACTGGAAACAATTTAACTGTCCACCAGTAAAGCTCAAGTTAAATAAATTAAGGTATAAATACATAATACAATTCTAAACAGCCACGAAAGAATGAGACAGAGTTATATAAGCTGATATGAAGCAAACTACATTAAGTTAAAAAATAGCAAAGTGCCAAATAATGGGCATAAGGGCATTCACGTCTGCATAACAAAGTGGGGTATATGTGTGTATCTATCTACTCGGACATGCATGGACTACTTCTAGATGTAACAGTGCTTATCCCTTGTGGTTAACTGGGAGGCTAGAATTCAAGGAGAAAGAAACAGTATTATAAATACTTTTAGTATTTTGCTCATATACATGTATTACTTTTTCATTTCAAAACCTATTTTGAAAGCAAAAAGGAAAGAAGGAAGTAGGGAGAAAAGATTGAAAGAGAACAGGAACAGTCCATATTCAAGTACAAATGAATAATAATCATTGCTTCCCTGAGTGTTAGTCAGCCGTTAAACGCCAAGTTACAAATATATCTTTAAAAATCTTTAAATGTACTTCAGCTCTGTCAAGACAACTATAATTTCCAGGGCTCTGGGGAGGAAAGAGCTCAAGGAGAATACTCACTAGCTGGCTCTCTCCCTGGCAATTCACCTTTTGCTTTCCAGCAGCAAAGAATGCTGTTGCTGTAATCACTGCCAGATAGCATTCAAACCACTTAAGTCCCTGAACTATAGAACTGAGCTACACCTAGGGCCAATGTATTGCATACATTATTTTGAAAAAGCACAGGTGTTCAGACATATCTTACTTTTGAATAGGAAGTGTCATGAGGTCTCGGTCCAAGAAGAGCCTCAGAAGGAAGTCGTGAACTTCTCCCAGAGTTTCAGGGCCTCCCATGTTTAGCATTAATATTCCAGTTTTTGGCTTCCTGCTTAAAATAAAATGCAGCAACTGATTTGTTGCAAAGCAAAAACCTCCAGACCTTTTTGTATTATCACAGGGCTACCTATTTAAGAATGCAGGAGGCCTCCATTTCCCCATTGTCCCAGCTCAGACTGATCTTCATCTTTTAGCTCCCTCCATGGACTCCACTGGGCTCAAAATGTTTCCATATTAACCTCCAAAAGCTCTGGAAGTCATCAGAAGACCTTGAACATAGACTTGGAACCAAAGGTCAGAGTCTAAGCAGGGTCACAGAGAATCTGGGCCCTTGTTTGTTCCCATGAAGGACAGCCATGTGACAGCAGTGATAGAAACTAAAGAATAAGGACTGTTTCTTTCATTCATTCTTCTTTTCTTTTTTTTTAAATTGAGATGTAGTTCACATACCATAAAATATATCATTGTAAGCTGAACAGTTAGTGGTTTGTACTTTATCTAGAACATTGTAAAACCATCACAACTGCTTAATGCCAGGGCATTTCTATATTCCCACAAATGAATGCTGGTATCCATTAAGACCACTCCCTGTTTCCTCTCCCCTCACCCCTGGCAACCAGTGATTTACTTTTGGGGTCTATGGATTTACCTTTCAGAGAAATGGAATCACCCAGTTGTGTGTGGTTTCACTTAGCATAAAATGTCCAAGGGTTATCCATGTTGTATCAAGAATCAATACTTCATTGCTTTTGATCACCAAATAATATTCCAATGTACTGCTATTCCCATCCCCCTCCTCCCCCCCACACACTCACTCTTGATAAAGCAGCTGAGGAATAACCAACTAGAGGTTTATCTCAAACACCATTATTATGAATGCTTCCTAAACCTCCTGTATCAGACCACACCTCTGGCTACAACTAAACCAACCCTGCAGAAAGTAAGATAGTTCTCAATGTGTTCTAAAACTAATGATATCACAATGTCATCTTCATTGACAATTTTAAGCATTTAGCAATAACGTTAAGTAGCAGAGTGTGTCAAATTTATATAAGTAGAAGCCATGTTGTTGTTCAAACACACTGTAGATGAATGAGGTACAAATCTGAATTCTCAACTCACATTTTCAGAATAAGAACCAACTCATGGAGAAGGGAAAATGCACTACAATGAGGGCAGGGATATAGAGATTATAGGATTTAGGATTATAGAGATTAACTAAAATCACCTTTACATCATCATCATAGACCAGGGTTTCTCTCAACCTTAGCACTACTGACATTTTGGGCTGGATAATCCTGCCTTACAGAAGACTATCCTGTGCAATGTAGGATGTTCAGTAATGTCCATGGCTTCTCCGTATTACATGGCAATAGCACATGTTCCACCCAGGTGTGACAACCAAAACTGTGTCCAGACACTGCCAAATTTGTATTGTAAGGGGAAAATGTCCCTGTCCCCTTTTGAGAACCACTGTCTTAGAGAAAGAGAGCTTAATCCTCTTTTTACAAACCAAACAACTACACTGATGATGCCATTGTCATAGAACTTCTTCACCCAGAAGGGCTATCACCAAAACATTCCTAAAAATTGCTACCTAAAAATTCCAGACGCGTCTCTTGGTAAAACTGTAATACTTCCTTAATCTTTCTACTTAGACCACCCATCTTCTGCTGAGATCCTGCCTTTCCCCTTCAAAATCTATGACCCACAATAAATTAAGTGCATTTTCCAATGGACTGCTGCCAGTTAACAGATTACTAGTTAAGCAACCCCAAGCTAAAAGACTTACCTAAACCCAGAGGGTATCAATGTGCAAACGGGATTTAGGACTGTGCTTTTCATCCATAACACCTGAGCTCCAACAAGAGTGGCTTTAAAGTGCATGCTTCTCTGCCCTGCTCACGGTTTTGCAAACCCATGTTGATGTTATACATGAGATGCCCATGATTTGAAAATGCCCACATACACATGCACTTAATTCAAAACTGTGTTGTGCATGATGAATGGAGCATTAGCAAGTCCTGGTCCAACTGCTCTAGTCCAGGATGTGAAGTACAAAGCTTTAGTCAAGGGTCTCTCTCTCTTCCCCCCTCCAGACACAGCACACCTGAGACCAAGGTCTGACTGTTCAAGTTCCCTTTGTTTGAACATAAAAGTGTATACAGCAAAATATGTTTTCAAACTTACTTGAAAACAGTTTAAATGTTTTGCTGTTTGTATATTCTCGGAGTCACAAAATATGAGGTTTTTCCTTTGAACTATCAAACATACAACTTTACTTATCAATTAGTAAAGAAACAATAATTTTATCCTACTGTATATAGCCCTTAATTAAACTTACAAGATGTAAGTGATTTATGCTACCTCTAGAACAGAGTTTGACGAACTACAGTACCAAATGTGCGCACACACACACACACACACGGCCTGTTTTTGTAAGGAAAGTTTTGTTGGAACACAGCTCAGCTCTATGGCAGCCCTCACATTACAAAAGCAGAGGCAAAGAGCAATGAAAGAGCACTATGGTCTACAAAATCTAAAAACTGTATCACCTAACCTTTCACAGAACAGGTCTGTGGACCCCTAATCTAGTACAGTGTCTAGTCTAGGTTCTAGTTTAGTTCAGTGTAAGCACTAAGTGGCACAGGGCCTTCAGAAGGTCCGGCATCAGAATGATCCAAGAGATATTCATTGCTTCAATACCTCTTATACGGAAAACTAGAAATGACATAAGTGGGTCATAATGGAGACTGATAAGTAATGATTTAATAAGATACTCCTAAGCTAATAAAGTAGTATAGGAGAATATTTATAATTACATGATGACACAGTAAGTAAAAAAGAGGAAGTTACAAAAATAACATATACAGCATTATCACATTTTAATAAGTATATATTGAGTGAAAACTAACAGATATGGAGACAAAAACACTACATGATAAGACTATCAGTGATTTTTAAATCTTTTTTTCCACTTGTGTTTTTCTACTGTTTCTGTATAAATATGATATAAAGTTACTTAATAGAATATAGAGCTTATTTTAGATTTTTTTTGGCAGTACTAGGGATTGGATCCAGTGGTAGCACTCTACCAGTAAACTATACCCCAAACCCTTTTAAAAATTTTATTTTATTTTTTGCAGTATGGGATTTGAACTCAGGACCTACACCTTGAGACACTCCACCAGCCCTTTTTTGTGAAGGGTTTTTTTCAAGACAGGGTCTCATGAGCTATTTGCTGGGGCTGGCTTCAAGCCATGATCCTCCTGATCTTTGCCTCCTTAGTAGCTAGGATTATAGGCATGTGCTCCCGTGCCTGGATTTATTTTAGATTTTTATTTAACTTTAATAACTTAATGTTAAGACTATTTATGTTATTGACTTTTGCCACTAGAATAATATAATAATGAAATGATTTTTCTTCAAGGGTTCCACATTGAATCAGTTCTTTAGTTCACACCAATACTATTCTAACCCTTAAGAAGTTAGTGCTAAGGTGGGAAGAGAGGCCATTAGGGACAGGAAAATGGGTACCCTAGTTGGCCTGACATGTGTGCTTCCTACCTTTGTTATGCATGAACTCCATCTTCTGAAAGGCAGAGAGTTAAGATACTGTCCTTTCCCCAACAAACCTCAGTTTACTTAGCAGTCCATCAATGAACCATGATCACAATGAAGAATAACAAACATGAAATTAGAATGTTTCATTTCCATAGCTGTATAACTTTCCTAGAACCATATCTAGCCTAGCAGAAAGATGGTGGAGTTAAATAAATCAAAGCTCCTTTCTTTTGTTCCCTCTGCCTGGTATTGAAGTACAGTTCTATGTTCTCTTAGACCTAAATAACTCCTTTGTAGAGAGTCTGGTCTATACAGAGCAGGTATAGAGGGCAGCTGTGGCTTCTGTTGTTGAAAAGGACACTTAGCAACATCATGCTTTCACTCTTCACCAGCAAACAGAAGAGGTGAGGCATGAAACATATACTCTCTTTCCTTAATAAATTATAAATCATATTATGACATTTTTAATTATGCTCATTGTGTTACAAGCTGAATCATAATGGCAGAATTTCCTCCAGAAATTCTTGGTAGGTTAGTCTTTATCTTGTACAGAACATACATTTCACAGGCATAATTGTGTTAGGTTCATAAATACATTTCCAGCACACACATAATTGGTATTATGTAACATATTCCAGGACCAATTCTTACATGATTGGCAGATTGTACTTACTCTGTGTTCTTTAACAACAGCCTTGTTGGAGAGTAAGGAGTGTTAAAACCTGTAGCTTAACAGCTGTATAAAGGAGGCCAAGAACATACCATACCACTCCTCATATACTGGGTTTTCCCAGAAACTTTCCTCCTTGGTAGCTTGTATCCACTGGTGTTTGTAATAAAGAGATCCTTCTTTGTACCATACCTCTTTTCTGGTTGAACTTGAGGCTCTGCACTTTTGGCACGATGGGCTTTCTCTGTGGTAGCTGCTGCTGCTGCTGCTGTCCCTGACTGGCACCTCCATGGCTGACCAGCCCTCGAGCTGCCATACACCACTGTGACAAAATTAAAGTGCTAGCATGAAATCTTGCTAGAAAGCAATTTCTTTTGAAGAGGTCCTCAGGGCATAATTCCTGGCTTTAAAATTTAAAGAGATGTGATGGCAGAAGAGATTTTCCTAGCATTTCTCTGCAGGCGGGTAAAGGTACTTAAGGCCTCTCCAAGGGGATGGCGGTGGAGGTTGGCTCCCCCAGGATGACTTTGTAAGGAACTGTAGGGAGGCTTTTTAGAAGCCACACACACCTCCTCACTCTACCTTACCTGTAGACTTTGCTATGATCCCTCACAAGAACCGCTGTACATTCTCAATGTGACCGACCGTAGGATGGTGCTCAGAGGAAAGGTGAGGGGCCCACAGAAAAGATGAAGACATGCTGATTTACAGCATGGAAAGTGGGCCAATTTCCAACTATCTACAGATCTCATTTCTGCCTTCAAGCCTTCTCCAGTAAATCACCAATGCTGGGAACCCCAATATTACCTTGGACCCTGACACAGAGGGCCTATATTATACAGGGTTTGCTCTAGCCATCTTTTTACTACACCCCATCCCACAGAATGTGCAGTCTACCTGGCCAACCAGATATGTCTCCCCAGAGTCCATACTCCACCTGACAGACCAGGCTCCCAGGACCCAAGAATTCCCTGCATTCAACACTCCATGCCCACTACCAGGGTCTATATAGGCTTCCTTCCTGGATCCATTCTGCTGGGAAATGATGGTGCCATCAGTGTAAGCAATTCTTGACCTGCAGGGTGGCAGGAAAAGCTGGTGGTGGGAAGAGAAGCAGGGAAGCCTGCAGGTCAGCTCTCCCAAGGCCTCCACTTCTCTGTAGGTGCTCAGAGAGGTCAAGAGTTTACCCTTCCCACATGTGAAGGATGTGCTGTCATGTATATTCTTTTTTTTTTTGTGGCATTACTGGGGTTTGAACTCAGAACTTTGAACTTGCACACCAGGCGCTACTTGAGCCACACCTCCTGCCCATTTTGCTCTGGTTAATTTTGGAGATGAAGTCTAGGGAACTATTTGCCCAGGCTGGCCTCAAACCTTGATCCTCCTGATCTCAGTCTCTCAAGTAGCTGAGATTACAGGCATGGGTCACCAGCACCCAGTCCCATGTACACTATTCATATGGGCCCCACAAGAGTTAGTGGACCTGGAGAAGCCACCTGAATCAAAGAGTCCATGTGTCAAACTGAGTTGTAACATGCAGAGTGTTGGTCACTAAATACACATGAAATTAAATTAAATTGAAGCCATATAGGAAGTACTGAAGAGAGAATCATGGGACAGTGGTTGATACTGTGCCCCATGCTACACACAGAACCTCTTTCTCCAAACTACCAGGTCAGAGACCAACTTAAGATCAGTCTCCTCCTACCCTCCTCTTCCTCCAGCACAAAGTGCCTTGATGAAGAATTTGGTCTGTGGACCAAGTAGGTCTGACTCTGAATTCAGCTCTGTCACTTACTAGCAGTGTAACCTGGAGCCAGGTTATAAACTTTCTGAGCCTAAATTTCCCCAGCTGTAAAATGACGACTCCTAAGTGTTGGAACTCTTATGAGAAGTAAAGAGAATAGGACAAGCAAAGCACCCTGCAGCATCTGTCACAGGATAAGTGTAAGCTTCAGTTTCATTTCTAAGTTTCTAGAGAACAGCAACCATGCCTGCTCTGATTTCTTTTATTTATTTATCATTTATTTTGGTAGCACTGGGGTTTGAACCAGGGTTTCATGCTTACTAGGCAGGTGCTCTACCATTTGAGCCACACCCTGAGTCCAACCAAAATTTTTTTAAGTCACCCAGCAAGGGTACAAAATATAGGAAAATGGTATCTCCATGCCACCTAGATTTTCTTCAATCCAGGCTGTGCACATACCCAACAAAACCAATGATGTAAGTTTGTGCTGAGTTTGGCACTTCCTTACTTAAGTCAAAGTGGAAGTGCAAAGATTGACTTAAAGTTCAATCCCAGCCAGGCGCTGCTCCACTCACACCTGTAATCCTAGTTACTTGGGAGACTGAGATGAGGAAGATCAAGTTTCAAGGCCAGCCTAGGTAAATCCTTTGCAAGATCCCATCTCTAAAATAATCAGAGCAAAATGGACTGGAGGTGTGACTTAAGCAACAGAGCATCTACCTTGCAAGCTTGAAGCCCTGAGTTCAAAGGAAGTCACAACCAACGCACTTCTCCTTGCTTAAACAAGTTTAATTCTGAATGACATGATGAGATTTAACCAGGTTTTTAATCATGCCACAGTGTCACCAATTCTCTATATGAATGAGATTACATCAGATGTCATGGGTTAGGAGAACAGAACTTTGGTATTCTATGATTTGACTACTGGTTATAAACACTTCTTCCTGAGAACCTGAAAAAATGGAGGTGGGGAGGAAGCTGAGGTGGGACTAGATTCTCCAACTAGTATATTAGGATTTCCTAGCACAATTTGGGAACTGGTAGCTTTTCAAGCTGCATCAATATTGCCATGACCTTACAAAATTCTCTTCTCCGTGGCTGATCAAATTTTGGGAGAGGGCAGTGATGGTGCTGAAAATGGATCCTTTCTACTTGGAATTTAGGGTCAACCTACCCACCCCTAAAGGAAATCTCTACCACACTCCCATAAGATTACTAGGGACAAGGAAGCAGATATGGGGTAGGGGGAATAAGAGAGGGCAATAGAAAGGTGAGTATGATTTAAGTAGTTACATGCATGTATGAAAATGTCAAGGAAAGCTATTACCTTGTACAATTAATGTACACTAAGAAAAAAAATAGACAGGGGTCCAGCACCAGTGACTCACACCTATAATCCTAGTTACTCAGGAGGCAGAGATCAGGATTGCAGTTCAAAGCCAGCCTGGGCAAATAGTTCCAGAGATCATGTCTCCAAAACACCCATCACAAAAAAAGGCTGGCAGCGTGGCTCAAAGTGTATGCACTTAGTTCAAACCCCAGTACTACAAAAAAAAAAAAAAATAGGAGCGCAAGGCATTTTAGATGCTGGGGTTGTGCCAGCCTCTTTTCCCAGGTTTTGGCCATTAAACGACCCATCTAAGTCCCCAGCTTTTGTCCCATGGAGCAATGTACAGGAGACATCGTAGGTCCTTCCTCAGCAGTGTGGTGCCAAAGATCAGCACCGTGTCCCTGATGGCAGGAATTCAGGAGGCTGGCTGCACTTTGTAGAGCAAGGTCAACCCACCTGGGGCTTAGGGAACTACCCACCTGGGTAAGTGCTAAGTTCAGATGCAGAAAAGCCTGGAAATCAGGTAAGCTACAGCAAGAGAGTCCCTGTTCCTACAGGGCTGCTGTGCACTACAGCAGAAACCAGCCTAACCTAACCACTACGGTGACTGCCTGCTGGGAGTATTGCTAACTAAATATTCTAGATCTGAAAGGGACAGGGAACATTCCAGTGATGCCAAGTAAGCTTTCCTCTAGGGCCTACATGGTCACTATTTGTGTCATAGAAAAAGGCTTGACAACAGGGGAACATTTTTCTTTTTGTTTTATTCCAACAAATCCCTTACTTCTTTTTTTTTTTTTTTTTGGCAGTACTGGGGTTTGAACTCAGGGCCTCACACTTGCTAGGCAGGCCTCTACCACTTGAGCCTCTCTGCCAGCCCTTTTCCTGCATTTTTATTAGCATATATTAGTTGTACAGCAGGGTTTCATTGTCACCATTTCCTTATAGACTTGGTTCACTTCCCTCCATCATTCTCCCCAGAGGCCATTTTTCTTAAGCCCAGAGACTTTGTGCCAATTACACACTCTTCCTGACATCTATCTCTCCATATGTGAGAAGGGGACAATACTGTATCATGTAGAAAATTGTGACGGTTCAAGGTATTTGAGCTGTAGATCAGTTTCTTCAACAATGTTAAATTCTATGTCAGATACATGCCATATGCTTCAAAGACTAATAATGATGAATAAGTAAAGGATGCGTTGCTGGGTACCAGTGGCTCACACCTGTAATCCTAGCTATTTGGGAGGCTGAGATCTGGAGGATTGAGGTTCCAGGCCAGCCCAGGGCAAATGATTCTTAAGATCCCCATCTCCAAAATAACCAGAGCAAAATGGACTGTAAGTGTGGCTCAAATAGTAGAGTGCCTGCATTGTCCTGAAGTTCTCAATGAAACAATAAAAAGCAATCAGATGTCTGAACTACTAAAAACTGATCCCAGCTACTCAGGAGGCAAAGAACCAAAGGATGGCAGTTCTAGGCCAGTTCATGCAAAAAGCATTAGGCCTTATCTGAAAAGTAACCAAAAAAGCAAAAAAAAAAAAAAAAAGGCTGGGGGTGTGGCTTAAGTGATAGAGCACTTGCCCAGCAAGCCTGAGGCCCGATATCCAACCCCAGAACTGCAAAAAATAAGTACATAAGGCAAACAAATTGACAGATAAATTGTTACCTGAAAAAATGCCAGGAAAACTAAGTACCAGAACTAATGAAGTTGACAGTGGTAGCCAATTACAATAAAAGCATTCGATGCGTGGTATTTTTTCCCCCAATTTGGACACGAAGTAAAACTTCGGAGCGCCTTTTGTCTCCCGGTGTCCAGAGCGCGCTAATCTCAGGTCCCTTGGGCCCTGTGCCCTCTGACGAAGGCACCGCACTAAGACAGCAAGGTTCAGGGTGGACTCTGCACTCGGAGCAGGTGCGGGACTTCCCTGATGAACGAGGGAGCAGAATCAGGCCGGTAAACAAGCGTCTTCTTCGGGACAGCCTCTCACGCCAGTAACTGGAGGGGCTCGGTGCAGCGCGTGCCGGGCACCGAACCTCCTCGCGGTGAGCCCACAGCGCCCCGTACACGTCCCAGCCAGGCTGGGAGCCTTTCTCGAGGCGTCCTTGTCCAATGCGGTTCCACCCACGTGCCAGACTGAGCGTCCCATCAGCTCACTGGTGGACACCAGAAACGTGCAAATACCTCTAGAAAACACTAGAACTCTAGAAACCCACTGCGGGTCCTGCTATAATGTCACGGGGTACACGGCCACACCGGGCACCCCGTGACAGCCATCAGCAGTGGTGATGACAACGACGTCTGCGCTACCGTCCTGTAGGTGACAGGCTCTTAACGCCCCTTCCCTCCTCTAACTCCCTCCCCTCCAAACAATCCCTGTATTACAGATGACAACGACTAAGGGACCGAGAAATTCAGCCAAGGGCCGCCCAGCTGACTGGTGGGATTTGAACCCGCGCCTCCCGTTCGTGGACCTCCCCGCCCCGCAGCCTCCCGGTGCCCCCAGGTGCGCTAGGCGCCCCCCAGGCCCCCTCGAGGGGAGGGTCCGTCCAGGTCCCTCCTCCGCGCCGCCCACCGCCTCTCCTCCGCCGCAAGCTGGCCGCTACTCCCGCGGTCACGGGGACCTCAGCTTTGGCGACCGCCGCGACAGCCCCACTTACGCCGCTCGCGAAGCAGGACGCCGGCAGTTCGCAGGGCCGCAGCCATGTTTGTGCCGGCTGAAAGCATTTCCGGGGCAGCTTCGGCCGGGAACCTGGGTTCCTCCGGCGGCGGCGCCCTCAGGTGCGGGCCTGAACGACGCCGCACCGGGCAAGCACCCCCCACCTGCGCCCCAGGACCTTATCACTTGCAGCCGCACCAGCTTTCTCACGGCGCGCGCGCTCATTCGCTGTCTGGCACGGGGCGGTGCCCGTCTGAAGACACGCCCCCACGAGAAGCCAGCTTATTCGCTGCCGGGGTGAGGGCGGAGCTGTGGGTGGAGTCAGTCACGGACACGCCCCTCTCCCAGAACGGGTTCGTGGGCGTGGCCTCGATGGCCGTCCGGGACTGGGAGCCTCCCACCGTGTGAGATGGTGCCCTGCGCCCAGCTAGTAACCGCTCCTCCCCTCACCCACACCACGCCACCATCACATGTCGGTGCTAGACATGTCCTGCTCGACTCGTCCCACTGGATGGATCTTCCGGTTGTTAATCTGCTAATGTGGCCAAGGCAGGAACAGCAGCCACGACTCATCAAAAAACTTTCTAGACATTTACTTACATAGGAGCATGCTTTTGCCTCACTTCTCCAGTTTGCACAGCACAGATCTGCAGACTCTTTTGCTTTGTTTTCACAATAGAAGAAGAGGATGATTTTGTATTAGGCACATTCATGTTATTCAGTTTCTCCGCAGCACCTCTCTATAGCAGAGTTGGACAAGTGAGACCAGAAAGAGAATAGTAAACTGCTAATTGGAGAGCTTTAAGGAGAAGTGAAGACCAGGCCTGCCTAGGAGGGGGTGGTTTGGTAAGTTTTGTTGTGGTATTTCTGTGCACCTTGGCCAATTAGGTGCTCTGCCCCCAGCCTCGAACACGGAGGCAGCCAGGAGGAACAAGCACCCAGCAGCCCCCGCACCACCGTTTGTAGTCATCACAACGTTCCTACACCTCTGCCAGCCCACCTGGCGTATATATGTTCAATTCATTGTAAAGTCTAAGACCAGCTCTTAGACGGTGCTGGTGGCTCACTTCTGTAATCCTAGCTACTTGGGAGGCTGGGATTGCCAGGATATCGACCGAGGTCACTCTGGGCAAATAGTTCACAAGACTCCATCTTCTCCAAAATAACCAGAGCAAAACGGACTGGAGATGTGGCTCAAGCAGTACAGTGCCTGCCTTGCAAGTGTGCAAGTCTTGAGTTCAAACCCCAAACCCACCAAGAAACAAAAAGACCAGCCCTTGGCAGAAAAAAATGTCTCAGGTATCAATCACAGAACTGATTTTGAGCACTTACTGAGTGCACTGGGAAAACAGTAGTAAACAGAGCAGACTAAGGGCGGCGTTTACACAGGGGCTGGGAAGAGACAGAGGAGAACACACACTGCTTTGAAAGATGACTTGGGTTAGGAAGAAGAACAAAGCAAAGTAGTGGACTGGGGGCTGGGTTTTGTAATTTGAAAGAAATTGATCACAGAAGTCCTCATGCTTGGACTAGGGCCTGAGGGAAGTAAGAGAGCTACCACGTGGCACAGGAGGGAAACTAGTCTACAGCAAGCTGAAGACCAGTTTTCTATAGCTAAAATTTGTGCTTGTGATTTAAGTAGTTTATTTATTAAAGGTAGTCCTCTCATAAAACCAATGTCAAATGAAGTGGATTGCAATTCACATTACCTACATAATCTTGAAATCCAAGCATGATTTTCCCTGAGAAAAGGAAAACTCACTCCAAATATCAAACCGCCTTCCCACAGTCTACTAATTCTTGACTCTCATAACCAAAACTGTATTAGAATTTGCCCCTTAAAGAGGTGAACTTTACTAACAATACACTTTTCTACCTAAAGCCCAAACCCATTTTTCCTAAATAAAGTACATAAAAAGGCTCCACTCCACATTCAGAAATGCTGTGCTTTAGGAAATATAGACAAGGCCAGAGAATCTGGAAAGGCCAAGGATTTAAGATGTCCGGTCTACGTGAGTTCTTCTCCGCCACCTCTGGGAGGTTCTGGATAAGTCACTCTTCCATCCTGAGAGCTGAGCTGCAAGTGCTAGGTGGAGATAACACAGGCTTCTGGCCTCTCCCAGGGAAATGCTGCTGATTAATGACGAGGCATAAAGATGCAAAAACTCAGAAAATCAACAGTTGGGACAAGTTAAATTTGTGTCTGACCAGAAAGGAAAAAGGGACTCACAAAAATGCTTTATATAGTAACATACTAACATTTTTAAAATGAGTTAGCACCAGTTCAGTCATTTGATTTACGTTTATTTACTGACTTAAAAAAAACCCTCAATATTATTTGCATATTAACCTTCCTGGTGCGTATGTTATGGACTCAGTGGTTATAACCAAAAACAGGACTTCATTATTTTGCTCCAACAGATAGTTCCATAACAATTGTTATTCCTAATCTTGGCTTATTTCTAACAAATATCAAATACAACAGCCGTCCAATGAATAACTTATGTTCTTATGAAATGAAAGCAGATAAAATATGCTTTATATGACTGCTTTCCATAACTGATTAAAAAAAAAGTCCTTAACTCCAAAATTGTGAACTCTACATGCAGGTTTACTAAGAAAACCAGAAAAGTCCTTGAAAGCCCTAAAAACTTTGCAGAACTATGTGGGATTTACACGCACACATATATATGCATTTTTTCCTGGCTTACACATTTTAAACAAAATTATATAGCAATTCCATTAGCAAACAGAAGACTAAAAGGCACAGTCTCTGGGCTGACTGAGATAAGAGGCATCTATCTCAGCCACAAGGGAGAGGGTTTGTCTCAGTCTGGGTGACTTAATTAGTGAATAAAGCACTTGCCTGTCACAGACAACACTGTGAGTTCAGCCTGTGGTTCTAAATAAAATGAATTTGTTGGTTGCAGCTCAATGCTTCAGGGAAGGTGGGGGGCAGGTGGCAGAATCTCCTAATTCATTATTTGTCATGATTGGCACCTCTGAGCTACCCAAACTAAATTTAGATTACTCAACTCTGTTTCCTTAATCAGAAAAGAATGGGGGAAGGGGATTCAGTGCAGAAGAAACAGTGGCTGCATATGACAAATGATAAGCTGTAATGATTACAAAGAGAAATCTGATCGAATGTCCCCACAATTGTTTTATGAAAAAGAGGCCTCCAAATCCAGGCCAAAATGCTATGCATTTTTACTTAGCTATCTTAACCACACAGAGACTTGAGTTCATCAGTGGTGAGGGGCTTATTAATCCAGCTGCACCTATTTACTGAGTGTCTACCATGAGCAAGGCATTATACGAGATAATGTGGGGGACAAAAGCCTAAAGAAGTTAGAAATGAAAATATGCTCTCTTTTTATGAAATAAGTGAGTGTAGAGTCTGCTGTCTAGCAGACACCAGGGGTACAGCAATGAATTGGACAGTCTCTACCCTTACAAAACTAACATTTTAGAAGGAGGCAGGCAATTGTCTTATGACAAAGATTAAAGATATACAACAGAATTACCAAGCATGGCTAGTGGGCAGGAAGAAAAAGAAAGCCAAGGAATGCCAGAAGTGCTGGTTTCGGTAGTGCAGTCAAACATGGCGTTTTGCAAGGTGGCATCTGAGCAGAGACCCTTGGAAATAAGGGAGGTTGTGTGGGGAATGGCTCTGTGAGTAGAGGACCAGCAAGTGTAGGGCCACATTAGTTTCCTAGGGATGCCATAACAAAGTGTCACAAACTAAGCAGAGAAATGTGTTTTCATTTCTGAAGGCTAGAAACCCCACCTCTAGGTGTCAACAGGGCCATGCTCCCTCTGAAACCTGTAGAGAACCTTTCCTTGTCTCTTCCTAGCTTTGGCAGTAGCCAGCAATTCTTGTTCTTTGACTTGCGGTGGCTACATAACTCCAACCCTGCCTTTGTTGTCTTATGGCCCCCTTCACATGCCATCTTCCCCTCTTACAAGGACATCAGTCATACTGCATCAAAGACTTACCCTAATAGCTCACCTTAACTTCATTACAATCTTAGAGGAAATAGGAAATATCCTATTTCCATGCAGGTACTAGGTGTTCAGTTGTCAACATCTTTTCAACCTGTAGCTGGCTACTGGGGGTCTGCAAGACTATATGTACTGAGCAGAGTGAGTGGGTTGGAGGGGGGGTGGCAGTGATATCCAGATCCATGGATGGAAGTCTTTATAAGGCTAAGAGATCTTCTGAGAGGCCCCCTCTAGCAGTGATATGCCCTTAGGTTTCTGAAGGCTTTGTAGTGTGGGGGATACACGGAAGCTCCCAGGTCAGCATTAAGAAACATACTGCATGACTAAGAACATTTTTTTGAGCTCCTATGCAGTGAGAGTGGTTTTTTCCAGACTTCTCTGTTCTCTGGGAAGTGGAAGAGTTCCTACAGAGGCTTTCTGGTTTGCTTCTGCCAGGACCCAGGGATCTCACTGGTCTTAGACAGGTTTATTTTTGAGTTTGGCAGTACTACTCCTTGTAGGTGTGTAAGTTAATATCTGGGGAGTTGGGTCTTCTCCATCCAGAGCACTAAGCGGATGGCAAGCTTCTTTGTCCTTCTGTGAGCTAGAGAGAACCAGGCCTCTCCTAGCTGCACCTTCCTGTTCTTGCATGGGTATCCTACGGGCTGATGTATTCATGTGTTAATGCTCATGGAGCTGCACGCTTATAACACCCCCTCCCATGCACACCAGTCTATGAATGCTATATTTGAATGAAACAAACAAAAAGCTCCTCAAAGTCTTTATCAGAGTTCAATTCTTCCCTGGTTCCCACCCTAACACCTCTAGCCTTGAGACCATCTCTACCTCCTCCCCTCGAATTCTGATGCTCTGAAATGTTCTTTTCACACTCAGCTATGATTTGGGGATAAAATATATTTATCCAGTAAATACACTGATAGTGGGGAAGAAGGGTGAGCAGAAGTTTAGCTGATTTCAGGCTGAGAGTTAAGCGATGCTTTACATCATGGTGGCACTGGAATTTACAAGAGGAGGAAGATTGAAATTTGTTGAATGTGAGGAACATTCCAGAGACAGGGAAGCACATTCCCTCATATGTAGCCACTGTTCTATGATCCTCTACTAGAAAATGCCTGTGTCTCCTTATGCACTCAGCCCGTGGTAATCATTTAAGAAGTGTTTGTCCAGGACCAAAAGTACAAGATCAATTTACCTAAAGCTTCCCTAATCTCCTCTCCCCTTTCAAGGCCATGACACCAATAAAAGAATAACGAGATGTTTTCAAGATTTGCAAGATGTGTGAACCTTGTGATACTGCAAAATGACAGACTGCCACCCACAAGGTTTTGCAATATCTTGTTAGTCTACTGGAGAGATACCTAGAAGTCTACAGTCATCAGTTGCTTCTTAACCTACCCTCACCTTTCCTCCCTTTGCCTAAAGATAAAAGGAGCTTGAACCTTATGCTGAGTTAAGATGGCCTTTCAGGACTCTAGTCCACCGTCCAGTCGCAAGTAAATGGACATAGGTTTGATAGTACTAGCTATAAGGAAAGTCAGGACCCACATTTAAGAAAAGACAAACCTACATTAAAAAAAATGGAGAGAACAAAACCTGGATTAGAAACATCAATGGTGATTAATTTCTGAAAGCAGAATAACCCACAGACTTCTTTACTATGGTAAAAGAGATGAAAAACTCAACGGATGGATTGGGGAAGAGTTGAGAAAAAAAACAGAAAATAGCAGATTAAAAAAAGGAAAATTGAAAAGAAGTTTATTGTCTGAATAGCAACAGCTGTACAAAGAATCTAATAGGGAGACCTTTACTGAAACAATTTAAGCAACTTTTTCATATGGAAAGACGTGACTTTCTGGATTGAAAGGGTCCACCAACTACCCATCAGGATGGGAATGCTTATGAATTTGCAGTAACAGCACTGGAAACCAGAAGACGTCAAGATTCAGAAGGAAAATGCTTCTGAATTTTACATGGCGACTATGGGTTAAATGTGATAATAGATTAAACACACTTCAGCATTTAGTTTGAATGAATTTCTTTTCTTGAGAAACTATTAGAGAATGCTAGAGTACAAATAGGAAGTAAACAAAGAAACAGTAAACATGGAAATAATAGGATGTCTAATATGGGAGCAAGAAATAGGATGCTGAAAGGGAAAACCCAGCAAACTATACTCCAAGAACAGAGGGGGACTAATTCAGATGAAAGCAGCTAGAGGGTCCAAAAGCTTCTTTGTGAAGATATAACTTAAAGACTACTTAATATGCCTGAACATTTTTGGGGATTGAACTAGATATTAAAAAAAAAAGACAGCTATTGGAAAAGCAATTATAGCTTACTACACACCCAATCAAATTACAATTTAACTAAGCTATAAACATGGGGGGAGTGAGATAGGTGGTCACACATGAGAGGTGGAGACAAAAGCAAAATCCTCATTTTCTACAGAAGAGCAATACATAATGCCTAAAACTGAAAAGTCAATAAAGTAACGTAAGCATGTTATTCAACAACATAGAGGAAAAAACCTAAAAAGGTAAAACTTTTGAAAACTCCATTTCCTTCTGCTAATGTACTCAAGTTACATCACGGACTGGAAACTGTTGTCTTGTCCCACATATATAACCTCTTCACTTAAATTCTAATCAAGTTTACTTCTTCAAAGATGTCCATCTACTCCTCATACTAGTAACAATCCAGGAGATGGAAGGAAACTTTTCAGGATAAGAAACTAAGTCATTTAACTGAACAGCAATTCCCAAATGCTATGAATTATAGTATTTGAGCACTATCACATCCCTTTTTTCCTAGATGGCCTGGGTGAAATATACTGATGCCAGGATGGTTTAAAGTCAAGCTTTGGAGTTTCTCAATCTCCCCTGAATGTTCATTTCAATATAGAGATTGATAGAAATCATTAGGTAAGGACCTTCAGCAGTAATAAGGGAGATTTAGGATTGAGTTGAGGAGGGAGCTAGCTAGTGACAATCAACCTCACCTGAGAACTTTTAAAAACTATGGTCTCATTCAGAAATTCAGAATCAGCTGGTCTAGGGGAAGGCCTAGGCACTATTATTTATAAGGTAAGGCCCCCAAGTGATTACAATATGCAGCCAAGGGTGTGTTGCAATGAACTACTCATATATTGAATGAGACATTTTAGGAATTACAAGGTGGAGGGAGCTGAACAAGGTGGAAAACTGGTTGAAGGACATGTAACAGAGAAAGTTGATATTTAAGTCCAGATGCTCCCTGACTTATGATGAGATTACATAACCCACCAGAAGTTGACAATGCATTTAATACACTTAGCATACCAAATATCATAGCTGAGGCTAGCCTACTTTAAATGCACTCAGAACACTTACATTAGCCAACAACAAGGCAAAGTCCTCTCACACAAATCATATTTTATGATAAAAGTACTGATCATCTCTTATAATTTATGAATACCATATTCAAACTACCTAAAATACCTAAAAACTAGGCCAGGCACCGGTGGCTCACACCTGTAATCTAGCTACTCAGGAGGTAGAGATCAGGAGGATCACTGTTAAGCCAGCCGGGGCAATTAGTTCTGCGAGACCCTTTCTTGAGAAAAACCTTCACAAAAATAGGGCTGTGGAGTGGCTCAAGGTGAGGGCCCTGAATTCAAGCCCCAGTACTGCAAAAAAAAAAAAAAAAGGGCTGGAGTGGCTCAAGTATAGGCTTAGAGTTCAAACCCTAGTACCATAGTGGGGGAAAAAATAGAATGGTTGTACGAAGTATGCTTGTGCACCACTGTAAAGTCAAAAAAAATCATAATACAAACCTTGTTCATTTGACTCGTGGCAGTACTAGCCTATTGTCTGTCTCCAACTCTGAACAAGTCTGCTACCTAAGGGCCAAAAGTGAAAGGGGTTTTTGATGTAAAAAATCAACAGTTTTCAGAGAGAAAAGAGTCATGACATGAAAGTCAGGTGAGGAGAGTCCAACAAGGGCAGCAACTAGAATCAGGAGTGCCTGTAAGCTGGTCTGGGGGGGCAAGGATGGCATTTGTGGCACTTGGAGCAGAGTAACCACCACACAGTGAAAGGAATGACGTTTCTGTGTATGAGTCTATCTACCATGCACAATTTCTTGGCTTGAGGTGACCATGACCTGATTCCCTTTTAGCAATCCCTGGTTAGGTGAGAACATAACCTAATCCAGCTCTTCTTTTAGTATTTTAACTCTCAGCCCACTACACAATTACAATTTAGGCTAATTGAGTCTGACCTCTTCACTTAAATTCTGATCAAATTGATTATAAAGCTCATTCACATTCTCTCAAGTATTCTTTAATTTAAAAATACAAGCCAAGTAGAGTACAAATGCCCCATTTCCATCTGCCATTCCATTTGATAAAACCTTAATGTGTTTAAAAAACACACACACACACCAAAGAAAAAAGGAGTACAAAGAAGTTGTAACTAGGACCCAAACATCTAGTTTTGGCATGGTAGCATACATTTGTAATACCACCACTCAGGAGGTAGAGGCAGGAGAATCAAGAGTTTAGGTCAGCATGGGCTATACAGTGAGTACCAGCCCAGCTTGGGCTACATAGTAGGACCCTGACTCAAACAACAAACAAACAAAAAAATTTCCTTTCATTACCATATGACTTTATTATGCCTAGTAAGTTTAGTACTATCTAATTTTACATACACACATCATGAAAATAAAAAAATAAGAATGGATAAGGTATGAAGTAATGTGAGACAGAAATGTTCAGCTTTGAGAAAATGAAGCCAGCAGAGTTTTTTATGAGTGTTCATTTATTGATCGCTGGGAATACAGCCTATTGAGAACACATAACATGCATTTGGGGGAGAAATTAACCAAGTCTGTAGAAGCCATTCAATAAGCCTGCTGTGAGTTTGTAAAGCTAACACAGATCAGATCAAAAGCATGGCAGGGATGACTCAGTCACCTACACATGTTAAAATTCCAGCTGCAAACACTTTCGGAAGGTATTTAGTCTTAATTATTTAGGAATCTCTAGGAAAGTGGGAAGCTCAGTCTGCCTCTACCTTAAACTAATGCTGAGAGATGCTATGAATCATTTAAATACCCCTCCACCCACAAGCTCATTTCAAATTTTAGGGGAATCCCAGTTTTACAAATTGTTCCACATCAATTTGTATGCCTCAGAATTACAAGGAGTGTATGAACTGAGAAAGGATGAGTAACTGATGCCGCAGACCGTACTCATTAGATCCCCTGGTCTCCACCATGTGCACTCTAATACTAGGATATCTTTAGGTTGCATTGCTGATTTCCCCCCAAGATGTTTTTTAACTCACTGTTACAATAAAATAATATAAAGCAAAGAATTCCAGTTACACTTTAAAGGACAGGAAGATTTTTACTGGAATGTCTTAGGCCATAATTAAAAACTGTGTAATTCTATACGGTATATTTGACACAATGATTACAACCTATAGTTGGATAAAATGTTGAAATTTATCCATAACTACAGAGTTACATATATTTTCTCCAAACTTTGTAATGATATTTTTTTCTCGAAATGACACCAGTGTCACTTGATAATGTGGACTATTGTTTGTGGGTAGTAGGCTGAAAAACAGAACGAGAAGACAAACAGTTACACCCCAATGGAACAAACAACGGACGATTTTGGCTTTTAGTTTTTTGAAGAGGCAGTCTGTTCCTTTCATGAACTGTATTCTTTCCTCCTCACTTCAGGAGGAATGAGTTATGGTTTGCAGCGCTGAACAAATCGAGGGTACAAGCATACATCTCGGATGTGATACCTATTCAGAATCCAAGTTAGGAATCGTTCCAGGCCCAAGCCATAGCCTCCATGAGGACATGTGCCATATTTTCTCTGTTAAGAGAAAATAAGATAGGGAGGAGTAAATGCTTAGTTTAAGATTTTACCTTAAAAAGTTAAAATTGTCTACTGTAGAAGGAGTTAGCTAATTCAACTCATAATCTATATGTCTTAATAAATCATGTATAAAGAAATAATTTGGTTTGAAAAATATACTAGGGATTAAGCCCTAGCCCGGAAAGATTTCAATCTAGTAAATCTCCATTTACTAGAGAAAAGCTTAAGATAGTAGTAAATATTCATAGGTTCTAATGATACATTTAAAAAACTCTTAGCAATGAGCAAGGCTGGAATTCTGTTAAAGAGATCTTCCAATGAAATTAATGTAACTTGGCTAAAGACAAAAATGGCAATATTCACATACTATATTATTATAACCATGAAACTAAATACAGCTCATTCTAATATCAAAATATGACCTGCAATTCTCTCCTTTTAAAAATTTCAATGTACACAGAACTATTACAGTGAAAAAAAAATTAAAGGCTTTAAAAAGTTGTTCTTACCTGATCTGTATACCAGTAATAGGGAGTAGGGTCAATTCCCTCTCTTTTATAACCTGCCAGGATTTCTTCGCTATCCCAGATACGCATAGAGCCTCCAACAATCTCACCAACATTGGGCATTAGCACGTCGACCTTTAAAGACAAGTTAAAAAAAGAACAAAAAACACAATTACTAAAAGGCTATCAGACATGGCACTGCTTCAATGAAAATTACAATTGAGCTCCTACAGCTAAAGGATCACGATAGTGTAGAATTCAGGTATTATTCAACTTATCCAACAAAGCATATTAACCCTAACCAAGGAGGGGGAAAACGTTTTAATTATTGTCATCCTAGATTTTGCAATATCTGCTATGAACTGTATTTTATTCCAAATGACGGTTCCCACTCCCTGTAAAAGCAAATTTCTAACACTCTCTTGAGTCACAAACTGACTGATTCAGTAAGGCGGGAATCCTCAGGACATCGCTGCATATAGAAGGACTTGATCTCCACAGGAAATCGACACAGTAAGATTGGTTCATTAATGGTGTCTGTCATCAGTCTCTCAGGAGCTTCTGGGATATCCTGAAGTTAAAAAGACTTCATTAACATTTATAATTCAAAATGCAAGACAGAAGCAGCTCTTTCACCCTATACCAGCCATTCCTTACTATGTGATTAATGCAACATAGCAAGGAATACATACCACCTATAACCCATGCATATTAATGTAAGGAACAATTTATTTAAAAAAGAAATAAACATATTTTATAAATACACCGTTATCAAATTAACTGTAAAAACATCTGCCTCCTTTAATATATCTCAAGCATCATGCTGCTTAAGAAATGAAAACAAGACAAACAAATCCCCCAAAAAACAATTACAAAAGCCTCTAAGCTGCGACTGAGTACTGCTGTTATTTTTTTGCCAGTGGCTAGTTTTATCAAGCTCTGAAGTGAATGTGGTAAACGTGGTTCTTGCAAGACAGAAGGTAATCAGTGCGTGCTACACAGAGCACTGATCCATACTTGTAGGATGTTGTTATTGAACCTCATCTTAACTCCTGCTACCTGTGCTTCTTTCCTGTTATAATAAATCAGTTACGCCTTTGATGATAGTGAGACACAGTGATAAGACAAATAACCAGGGTCAAGTTTATAAGAGTGTAACCACAGCTGGAATAGTTCACCAGGAAATGTTAAATGATGAAGAACCAAGTGAATCAGTTTCTCTCTCAAAACATCCTTCAGTAAACCACACATTAATTCAAGGTAAAACTGAAAACCCTATCCCACTAAAAACTGAGAGAACTGGACAAGACTCACTGATTTGTGTAAGAATGGAAATGAAGCTAAGCAATCACCTGGCACAGCTGTTTTCTGCTCTAGTCCCGGCAGTCCTATGCCCTCTGAGGTATAGACAGGGATAAGGGATGAGCAGAGAATTCTAGTCTCTTAGCTTGTTTTACACACTGGGTTTCTGCATAACATTAAGTTAAAGGAAGGGGGGGAGTCTTACTGTACACCTGGAAGGCCTGTAGACCACCTATCTACTCTACTGCCCTCACGGGCATGGGATGATAGCTACATATAGTAAATGTGACAAGCAAGGAGTGTTTCCTGCACCATGGGTCCTGCTTGGCATTTAGCTCATTTAGTCCCCACAATTTTGCCAAGAGAATGTTAACTCCAAGGTACAGATAAGGAACCAGAGAGTAAGTCACTAGCCTTTGGTTACACAGCAGGTCAGGACAGAGGCAGGTGCTAAACCCACTTGCGGGATTGGGACCTTCAGACTCCACAGCTATGCTCTTTCCACTCAATCTTAGTAATTTGCTAAGCACTAGGTATACGAAAATACTCAAGACTTTAGCTTAAAATTGTGTCATTATACACCATAAACTGAATTCACAGACAGAGTAATTTGTAGAAACTTGGTATATTGCTTGTCCTCCCTATAAATTCCTTCTAAAACGCAAAGCTGCCTTTTTGTTAGCAGTAGCTACTCACATTTCACCTATAAAAGAACTAGATTTGCACATATTCTTTCAGGAATGGTTAAATGCACATGCCTGAATACTGTGACAAATCACAACACCAGGCATGTTGGGAGGGTGCTCCTAGGCAAAACCAGTACAGTATACTGAGTTTATTTTGGGCATCAGGTCACCTTTCCCATCAAGGCCTTCGGACTAGACCTTGCATTTTAAACAATGGGTATCTTCTTTGAATCTCCTTCTACCTGAAGGAGGTTTTAAATCACTGAGGGATGGGATTCCCCTGGAAAGATATTTTCCAGAAAAACAAACCAAATGTATACATATACCAAGATTTGTCGCATGTAGTTTCAAAGGCCTCACAACATTCTACTGTATCCCTGCCAGGTTGGAGGCTTGCAAACGAGGTAATTAGTCAAGGCTGAGGAATGGTCATGAAAGAAGAAAGAGACGAAAGCTAAAAACTCTCTATTTGTGGAACATCACCAAAAAGGCACTGTTCTAAAGCTCACTCTACAATGAATTTGCAGGAAATCCCAAGAAGCAGGTTCTGACCTCATTTATGTGAAGACAAGAAGATGCCTCCTGCATCTCCAGTTAACTAACCAAGAGCAGCAACCCACGTAAGCACACTAGCACTTCTGAAACAAGAAAGGAATACATACTTCCCCAAATTCATAGAAAGTTCCATCTTCTTTCTTTATATTGTGTTCTTTTAGCCACACAATAGCATCTGAGTAGTTCATCCGCCTGAAAGGTCGTTTGGGGGGCTTAAAGTTCTATAGCAGAAAGGAAAAACAGTATATATAAAGAAACCACACCACACTGAAATGCCCACTAACAATAAAAACAACAAAACATCATTTCAGATAAGGAAACTATGTACATATTCCTAAAACAGAAAACATCTATGAGCCTCCTCTTATGTAACTTACAATTATTGGCAATAACTAATATTAAGATTTTCAAAATACTAATCACTTATTTCAGCTCACCAAGGCAGCAAATCTACAAATACTGAGAGTAAAGACTCCACTGTCTTCCAGAAAAGGATTATAGTCCCTTTATTTTCACAAATCCTACACCTACCGGGTTGAGGTCATACACTATGCTTGCTGCCGGTGACTTTAGGACTCTATCTACCACGTCACACACCAAGTCCTCCAATCTTGTCAGGAGGTCCTCAAAGGTCAGGAAAGAGCACTCAGCTTCCACGTGAGTGTACCTGAAGGACAAGACATGGCTCAAGTTGCTCCTCTTTTACACTGAGTTTCTCTCAGGCAAAAATGTGAACATTTGGAAATTGTCCAGAAGGGTAAAATTCCCATGCAAATTAGTTTTGGATACCCATTTGCCCTCTTAACTAGCGATTTCTTGTTTATTCCTTAACACACAAAGGATCCAGCCAAAGCAAAAAAAAAAAAAACCAGACCTTAGCCGTGGCCTAAAAGGCAAAACTTGACATGTTCTTCCACATCCTTGTAACATGTAATATACCAAATGTTTTTTACACAGACTTCACCTGCCCACATAAAGATTTCTTCTCTAAAGATAATGTCTAAAAATAAATTTAAAAAAAAGACAATTTCATACTCAGCCAGGTGCCTTCGTGTTCTGGATTGTTCTGCCCTATATGACTGTGCAACACAAAAAACATCTCCCAGGGCTGGAAGGCAGGTCTCCAGGTACAACTGAGAGGACTGAGTCAAAAATGCCTCTTCCCCAAAATAGTCAAGCTTGAAGAGCGTGGCTCCACCTTCTACCTGTGTTTGCACTAATGTCGGAGGAGTGACCTGTACACATGGGAAGGAAACAAAGTTCTATTGTGAGCCCCACTCTTTCATGTTTCCAAATGGCAAGGGGTACTATTTGCAAAAAGATGACCAACACACACTTACTTCACAGTAGCCCCTGTCAAAGAAGTGATCCCTAAAGCACCTGGTGACCACAGAACGAGCTTTTAGGATTTTGGACATGTTTTCTCCTCGGATCATCATATGCCTATTGTTGAGCTGGACGTCAACATCAGACTCTTCGTTGATCAAGTTATCAGCTCCTCCAGCTGGGGCCAGCCCCACGAGTTCCCAGAAGTCACAACTGAGCTCATGGCCCCCTGGAGCCTACATTTTTAAAAAGCGCAGTGGAGAGACAGAGGGAGGGAGACAGAAACTAAAACTTAGTAGTATACAACATTTTATTTTATGTCCAAATTTTTGTTGAGCTATTTCTAAGAACATCATTGTTTCCTTTCAAAAACAAAAACTCATTAGACCAATTTTATATTGCTATTTTTATATTGAATACTTCTTCCAGAGTAAATACACACACACACACACACACACACACACACACACACACACACACATATATGCTTATATATTTTTTAATAGAAAAGCATAAACTAGAAAATAAAATGTAATCTCTAGGAAAAATTAAACTGACTTGGAGCACTATTAATTACTATTAATGCTTTATTTTTTTTTAGTATTTGCCTAATGATTTATGTTAACATTGAAAATTTAAATGCAAAGATTTTGCTAAAAGCTGTTAATCTTTGAAATATATATATAGTAAAAAATCTGAATTTTCCCTAATAATTCCATTAAAAGCAATTCATTTTAAAAGTCATGCATCCATGCAATATGTAATTATCTTGGGGCCAAATATCATGACAACCACTCTATTTTGCAGTCATATTACTTCCAAGGAAAACAGTGAACTTGAATCAGATACTCATTACAGCCTCTTTTATATGAACTCTGTGAGACCTCTTATCAATTTGTCTTTAATTAAGGACCATCTGCTCCCTCTTGTGGTTAGGATATTACAACTATTCCCTTTCCTAGCCAACCATTATAACCACAGTAGTTACTGAAGCATAATTACCAACAGATAACTGTTACTGGAATAAATTATGTTTACGTGACTCTAGCTAAAGAACGAATGGCTCTCTGAATATCAAGTTGTCCTGAACTTTTTTTTTAAACAGAGGCTTTCAAATTGTTTAGAAAATTCCAAGTTCAGACTATTTTTTTTTCTGAAATTTTCTGTTAAGTTTTATTTCCATCTAAATGAAAATTTATTCATACACCCTCAGCAAAGTAGCTACATTATGGCCTATGAGGCTTATCAGGAATTCTGTCAGGCTGGAAATCCCTGAGTTCTTTCGATCATATGAGTTGTATTTTGTTTGAGTATCTGTTCCCTCCAAAAGTCACACTGAAGTTTAATTGCCCTTACAACAGTGTCAGAAGTTGGGGCCTAATGGGAGATGCTTGTCATTATCTCAGGAGAGGCTGAGTTGTTAGTTATCATGAAGATGGGTATGTTATAAAAGCAATTCAGCCCTATCTGATCTTTACCTCCTTCCACCTTGTTACAATATAGCAAGAAGGCCCCCACACATGCAGCCCTTCCACTTTGGGCTTCCCAGGCCTCCAGAACGGCAAGAAATAAATTTCTTTTCATTCTAAATTACACAGCCTGTGGTAGTCTGTGTAGCAACAGAATATAGACTATAAAATAATAGAAAAATGTATACTGTACATATTCCATTGGAAAAGGTATAGTAAACTTAGAAGCACTTCACACTTGTGTATTTATATGACAGACAACAGAAGTACAAATAAAGATACTGGCAAATAAAGTATTAAACATTTTCCAAGTGGGGATTTCAACCCACTTACCTGTTTTCCCTTTGGAGTAAGATTTAGTATTCCATATACCGCTACACTACTTTCGGTGGACAAGACTACTCCATTGTAACACTGACACTAAAAAAGATCAAAGTTCAAATTAAGTTATTCATATTGTTATTAAAATATTCTAATATGCATAAAGCTAAGGGATTATTTACAAACAAGTTCTCTGGTCAAATACTAGTAAAATAGAACTGAGATTGTCACTCATTTTAATAGTAATAAAGAATACCTATTTTTGTAGGAGACATTTATCAATAAGGCCACATGACAATGTTTCTATCAACTGGACATATACACGATAGTCATCCCATAAGATCATATAGTGACATCACAGCTTTCTTATTTTGTGAACACTTTGATGCTCACACAACGAAATCACTTCCCAATGCATTCCTCACAGTATGACCCTATTGTTAAGTGACATGTGACTATATATAGAAACCCACATATATGTAAGTACCCACTTAACATACATATATAAACATAAATGGCACTAGTTCCCATCACTTAAAAACATCCAGAAAGTTCACTTTTGTGGGTTTTTTGTTTGTTTTCAAATTCAGATGATTTAAACCATCTACACTAAGATAATCAACACGTGCCAAAGTCACTAGGAGAAGAATGATGGGGAACTTGACAATGGCAGGGTCAGTCTACAAACACCTCAAACCACTAACCACAAAAAGACAACATAACATCATGCGCCTCCTACTTGAGGCAAGGAACAATACAGCTTTACACATGTAGTCATGTCAAAAAAAAAAAAAACTTTTTTGAGCCTAACCTCCCTTCTATAAAACAGACAGGGAATAAGGGAATATGTTAAATGATATAAGGATGGAACCAAACAAATCCCGAATGTGAGAAGTTCTACAAGACAACTTGTCAGGTTTCTCCAACAACTGGGCAGAAGAAGGAAAGGAAATGAGGAGGGGCGTTGTTAGAAGTATGATGTCTAGGGAAACAACATCACACCAGGATTGGCCATAAATTGCTAGTTTTGAAGCTGGGGATAAGGATTCTTCACAGTGTTCTGAATTTTTACATTTTAGAAAATTCATACTCTCCCCTCGCTTTATTAAGGTAAAATTTATAACTTTTTGACATTCATGATATACAACATGTTTCTGAGGTATGTATTCATAGTGAACACAGTAAGAGTTTGAGGTACATATATAGATTCTAAAATTCCCAAAACTAATAAAGGTCCATACTGAAAAAAAGTCTTATCTATAGCTATAAATAAGAAAGTATTTACCAGCTCATCAGCTAAGACACACTGAAGATAACCTGTACCATCCCGTAACACCAGAAACATTAAATTCTTTCCTGAAAATGAAAAACAGAAATTTCACCAAACAACTCTCAAGAAACTACACAGTACTTTTTCATAATTTAATAGATATAAATGATACTCCAAGGCTAAGCACTGATGTTTACACCTCCCTCATGGCTGCCTTCCTTAGAAGTGCCCCTTGGTAAAGCATTTTATTTCATTGTACTCTACTTTCAAATCTCGTAATCCTAATGAGTCACACGACCATGGGCAGAAGACAGTAGGGAGCGGAGGGACTGGGCCTTACTTGTCTGAGACCCCTGCAACATCCAGCATAACACTAAGCACTGAGGGGAAGGTGCACAAATACTGTGAAGGAGAAGCACTCTTCTTCTTCATTTATGACCCATTTTTTTTAATGAAAGATTTGATAATTACTCACAATAAAAAAATTGTTATAAACTAATAAAAAGAGAAAACAAAACATCAGGACCAAGGGAGCAGAATGCAAACATAGTTAATTCTAAGAATCAGAACTGTGGCCAAGTTTTAGGTTAGGCTAAGACTTTCCTGTAACACATCCTCTGTTCTCTTTTTCTTTTTTGGTGGTACTTGGGTTAGAACGCAGGGCTCTGCACTTGCTAGGCAGGTGCTCTACCACCTGAGCTGTACCTCCAGCCCTTCTTTTCGCTGGTACTTTGAGTTAGGATCTTGCTTTTTGTCTGGGCTGGCCTGGGCTACAATCCTTCTATTTTATACTTCCAGCCATTGACAGGATGACAGGCGAGCACCACCACACCCATTTTTTTAGGATCTCATGAAACTTTTTGCCAGCTCTGGCCTGAAACCACAATCCTGATTTCAGCCTTCCCTCATAACTGGGATGACAGGTGTGCACTACCACACCCAGCTACTAGTCGAGATGGGGTCATGTGAACAGTTTTCCTGGGCTAGCTTCAAACCACGATCCACCTGATTTCCACCACCTATGTAGCTACAATTACAGGTGTGAGCCACTGGCACCCAGCACCCCATTCTTTATTAAGTAATTAAAGTTCAATTGACAAATATTCACTGGACACCTGATCACTGTGGTTGAAGCAGTTAAAACAGCACTTACATAATTTTTAAACTTTCAATAGTCATATTAAATAAGAACAAACTTAGGAAAGAAATCACTAGATTGTTAAAAAACACAGCGTACTTAAAAAAAAACAAGTAAATGTTTTTATGTTCTTTAGCTTAGGCCAGGTTATAAAAATTAGAGGGAAGGAAAAGCTCTACCTTGTCTTCGCAGCCTGTGGACCCAGCCAAACACTTTCACTCTTTGACCTCTGTATCCTTCTAATGCACAAATCTTCACCTGTCAAGTTAAAATAAATAATATTTGAACAATCATTTATCACATGCCAACATTTTCACTAACATTAGATGGACGGTAGTAACGTGTTAAAAATCACAAATAATGCAAAATTGGAGGCACTCTACTTCATGCTAAAACCAAAACAATTTACCTAATTAGAGTAGTTTTTAAAAAAATGTCAAGTTTTGTCTTTTTTTTTTTTTTTAAATGGTACGGGGGTTTGAACTCAGGACCTACATATTACACCACTTCATCAGTCTTTTTGTGATGATTTTTTTGAGATAGGGAACCCTCTTACACTGTTGGTGGGAATGTAAACTAGTACCACCACTCTGGAAAAAAATTTGGAGGCTACTTAAAAAGCTAAACATTGATCTACCATATGATCCAGCAATACCTCTCTTGGGGATATACCCAAAAGACTGTGACACAGGTTACTCCAGAGGCACCTGCACACCCATGTTTATTGCGGCACTATTCACAATAGCCAAGTTATGGAAACAGCCAAGATGCCCCACCACTGACGAATGGATTAAGAAAATGTGGTATCTATACACAATGGAATTCTATGCAGCCATGAAGAAGAACGAAATGTTATCATTCGCTGGTAAATGGATGGTTTTGGAGAACATCATTCTGAGTGAGGTTAGCCTGGCCCAAAAGACCAAAAATCGTATGTTCTCCCTCATATGCGGACATTAGATCAAGGGCAAACACAACAAGGGGATTGGACTTTGAATACATGACAAAAACGAGAGCACACAAGGAAGGGGTGAGGATAGGTAAGACACCTAAAAAATTAGCTAGCATTTGTTGCCCTCAACGCAGAGAAACTAAAGCAGATACCTTAAAAGCAACTGAGGCCAATAGGAGAAGGGGACCAGGAACTAGAGAGAAGGTTAGATCAAAAAGAATTAACCTAGAAGGTAACACACACACAGGAAATTAATGTGAGTCAACTCCCTGTATAGCTATCCTTATCTCAACCAGCAAAAACACTTGTTCCTTCCTATTATTGCTTATACTCTCTCTTCAACAAAATTAGAAATAAGGGCAAAATAGTTTCTGCCGGGTATTGAAGGGGTGGGAGGGAGAGGGTGGTTAAGTGGGTGGTTAGGGATGGGGTGGGGCAGGGGGGAGAAATGACCCAAGCCTTGTATGTACATATGAATAATAAAACAATAAAAAAATAAAAGAAAAAGAAAAAAAATTAAGTAAAATAAAAAAATGTCAAGTTTTGACCTACATATTACACCACTTCACCAGCCTTTTTGTGATGATTTTTTTGAGACAGGGGCTCATGAACTATTTTTCCAGCCTGACTTCAAACTGCCATTCTCCTGACCTCTGCCTCCTGAATAGCTAGGATTATAGACGTGAGCTCCCAGAGCCACCAAGTTTTTTCTTAATGCAGAACTAGCAATGGGAGACACTCAGAAAAAATTCAGATATTTCTATAGAACAGCAGTTAATAAATGAATTCAATTTGTCACAAATAAAGCACCTGCTCTTCACAGCAGAAACAGTCCTCTCCCTTAGGACCTCTTCCATGCCTCACAGTCCCCCTTGGTAGCTTGGAAGCTACCAAAGGCTTTTTGTTTTGAAAGATGAAGGACAGAGATAAGTAGAGGAAGGGAATAGTGAATATTGCCAAGAAAACGCCTCCACCACTAAGGAAGTAGAAACACATGACAATTCATCAGCAAGACTGCTGGAACTCAAACCACATCCATTCATAGTCTAGCAGTCTGTTTGGGTTCCAGAAAGAAGGAAAGAGAAGAGTGAACTCAATTTCACAGAATCACAAACACTTTTTATGTCTTTAAAAAGTCATGAAAATTATGGATTTCCACCTCCTCATTTTATGGTGAGGAAACTGATACTAGAGAGATCAAATCACTCAGCTAATTCCACACAGCACAGGCAAGTCTGGATCCCTTGTCTGCTAGTGTTCAGTTACAACAGAATCTGCTCAACTCCCTATTAAAATGAGCCCCTAAAAAACCAGCTTCATAATTCCATCTAAAACATTATTTCTCCCTACCCTGTCTTAAAGGAAAGACAAAGGATGTCAAAGAGAAAACTATGCAGCATGCCCCTCAAACACACACATGGGAAATGGTATGCACACTTACACACTTTGGCTCCGGAAGACTTGGGTCATTTTTAATGGTAATTTTCTTTGCTTCCTCCAGGTTCTTTTCTCTTCGCAAATTATCTTCTGCCTAATTTTAATAATAAAGCAAGTGGTAAATACAGATCCCAGTGTTAAAACTTTAAAAATGTACATAGTGGCAGGTTCACTAGTCACCTCTTTCTTCTCCCGGGACTCATTCTTTATTTGCTCCCTATGCCACATTTTTTTAATATTCTTCATCTGTGACTTAGAAATGATATCCCACCTCTAGAAAAAAAAAAAAGATACGTATTATTTTTTTGAAGACTTCTGTGTCACAATGAAAACTTACAAAATATAATTCTGTAAGGTTTTTGGTATATCCTACCTCATTTCCTTTTTGTGAATCTACATAAATGGTAGGGAATGGTTCTTTTCCCACAGTCATCAAAGCCTTGGGTAGACAGAAAGAAAAAAGAAATTTCTTTAACATTATGAAATACATACAAATAAAAAAAATGACTCAACTATGAGACAACTTCAATAATCTACAACATGACAAAGAGCCAAGGCCAAAACACAACGACCCCATGCACCAGAAGTTGATGTTGACAGGGTGACTGGCTGAGCTCGCAGAGGCAGTTCACTCTTAAGTGAATCCCTCCAGTCCCTTCACAAATGATCCCAGCAAGTTCAGATGCATAGTGTGCAGTTCCCTGGCACAAGAAGACTAGAAGCAAAGGACCTTACTTAAGTGGCCTTAGGACCAGCGCAGGTATGCTGACAACAGAACAGACAGCTAAGAGCAAGAGCCAACTGCAGACAACATCTAAAAGGTCTGGGCTTTGTAAGGTATCAGGGGAAGTACCAAAGACAGTTTTGAAACTGTCAAAAAAATGAAAAACAAAACACAAAAGACTAAGATCCATTTAACTTGAAAAATTCTCATACGTAGACTAACTGTTTTCTGAGCAAATTTTGCACTGGGACATACTAGGCATTGCTGTATCATACATCATTTAATAGTTTATAGTTTTTGTGTGTGTTTAAATAGTGCAATATAAAAGATGAATATCTTACTGCTTCAAATATTCTTGCAAAATTTCTATCAAGTTATTAAGTCAAATAGGAAATGCAATGAATTATTCCCTCTGGTGGCAAGATCTGAAGCTTACCAAGCATTACCCGCGTTTTGCCTCTTTTGGGCCCCTTTGCAGTTTTCCTGCTTCTCTTGCTTTTTGGGCCACACATTTTCAACTGTCTGGTCTCATTCCTAACATTTATAAAAGGCTGGAGGCTATACAGTTACAAATGAGAGTCACTCGGGTATAAACAAATAGGTCTATGAGCAAGCATTAACTAAGCCTACTTAACACCAGCTAGGGAATATTTTCACTCTTCTAATGGGACCTTCAACAACACTCAAATTTGGCTTAAAGAAGATACAACCATCACCCTTCCAGACCATCACCTTTCAGTACTCCTCAAGAATGAGGAGTAAAAATAAAAGGGGAGATTTGTTACCCAGAGCATTTGCCTGGGAGACCTAGATGAATTTCTACTCCATGTAATTTGTTTATCTTTGAGGACGAGATGCCTATAAGCCAGAAGTTTCTCTTCAGGTGGGCCAGTCAAAACTAGCTGGATCTAAAATGGCTGACAGAGTGACTACCAATCAGCCTAACTTTATTATACCATCTGCATACTAAATGACACTCCCCTGACCAGGCCATGACAGTTGACAACTACCATGGCATTGACTGGAAAGACCTATAAAAAGGTGCCAAAAGAGGTAGCAACCAAATTTCTGGAAAATCTCCTCGCATTTCCAGTAAAAGATGTGACTATTCCTCTCCTTCATTAGTTTATCCGTCCTTCACTTCTTCTACTGTGTATCTATAACCTCCCATTCCCCAAGGACTGACAAACTGATTTGTGAGTAACAACAACAGTAACACACAAAATCCCTGATCTTCTCTTTTCTTTTTTTTGGCAGTACTGAGGTTGAACTTGCAGGGTCTCACGCTTACTAAGCTTGCTAGGCAGGCCCTCTACCACTTGAGCCACTCTGCTGGTCCTATTTTGTATTGGATTTGCCTCAGGCTGGCTTCCGTGATCCTCTCTGCCTTCTGAGCAGCTAGGATTACAGGTGTGAGGCACCGCCCAGCAACCCTGATCTTCTTTAGAGGGAAGTTAGTCCCACTTATAGTTGCAACGGAAGGAATGTGGATGTTCTGAAAACATGCAAGAGAGTTTTTTTTTCTTTTTTCTTTTTGGCAGTATTAGAGTTTGAACTCAGAGCCTTACAGTTGCTACCCAAGTGCCCATGAGCCACACCCTCCCTGCTCTTTTTCCTTTAGTTATTTTTCAGATAGGGTCTGGTGCTTTTTGCCTAGGCCAGCCTCAGACTGCGATCCTTATGCCTCCCATGTAGCTAAGATTAAGGATGTGCCTATCTTGTTTACTAAGATGGGAGTCTAGCTAACTTTTACTTAGGCTGCTTTTAAACTATGATCATCCTGATTTCTACCACCCAAGTAGCTGGGATCACAGGCATGTGCTACCACACCCAGCTCCGAGTGTTCAGCTTTTCAACAGTTAGACATCCAGTGACATAGTCATCCACTACATACATGGCATTCCAGCCACTACATACATGGCATTCCAGCCAATGGTGACAGCACATACTGCCATGATCCCATAAGATTACTTTGTCTAGTATCATGGATAGCTTCATTTGTGCTACCTCACTCTATCCCTATCATTAAGCAATGCACAACTGCCTTTGTAAGTCATTCAGAATTCATTTACTACCTGATAGTCTATACTGATCCTTCTTTTTATATCACTGAGATTGAAAGAGCCAAACTGTTATTCCTTAAGTCAGAATGACACACTTTTTCTGATAGTGACATCTTTCAGAGATTCACCTAAACAGTCTTATTAGTTGTGCAGAGCCACAAGGAGGTACCTCACAATCCAGAAAGGAGAAATTTCCCACTAAGAGTTAAAAAGCAAGACCCATGTATGACAGACCAGAGTATAACGACACATTTTGACCTAAAAGTAGACAGACTGCTTTCAGTGTTTTTGTAACAGCTACAAAAAAGAGAATTGGCTAGGATGCACAGAAAAAGGGACATCAGAGCACTGTTTGTCCAAGAGAAACACTACCTTGAGACCTGTTTTAAACGGTTTCTCCTTGGTTCCATCGCCCGTAGCATCATTTCCCTCTCGATCTGAGACATACAACTCTGCTGTTTTCAAAAAATGAGAATAAGTTACTTGTTAACTCAGTCACCTTACAATGCAGCTACTTCATCCACGCCCTATCTTTGTAAAGAGAAAAAGCATTTGATTTGTAAAAGTTACCCAGTCCAAAAGAAATAACACCATTATAGTCCCAATCCCATATTTCAACACCACTTTTCTCCTAAAAACATGACTTACAAATTTAGCTTTTCAAAATGAACTTTTTGATCATTTTAATTTGTGATACTGTCTCTATTCACTTATGTACCCAAAAAAGGCCAGGGCTTTGAAGTTGGCTATATCTAGATTGAATCTTGGGTGCTGTACCTTAAAAGGCAGGTGACCCCGAGTGGAATTTACTTAGCACTTCTGCACCTATTCCTTCATCTACAAAATGAGGACTATACCCATTTTGAGGGGCTGTATGGGCATGGATGATAGATACAAATCAGACACTCCAGTGTTAGTGCACAGAGGGAAAATAAAAACACCAGGTCCCTCTGACTTTTAAAGGAAACTGAAGCTTTGGGGTTAAACAAATCTAGTTGTGACAACAGCCCAGGTCTCCCACAATCTCTTCTTCTTTGTACTGCTTATCTCAATGCAAAACGAGGCTGTGCAAGGAGAATTCCTCTCCCGGAGATCAATGAATTCTTCCCCACTCGGGGGCTACACTGCGTCCGAGCTCCCGCAGCGCCCGGGTCTCCGCGAAGTCACGCGACTTTTCTCAGTGACCAAGGCCGGGTTGGCCGCCATCACCGCCGGGGACACACAGGGATCCCCGGGCCAGGCCTGGACCGGCAAGTCCCGAGCCCAGCCGGGGTCCAGGCCTTTCCCCTCCCGCCAGTGGTCCCGCAAATGTTCAGGGAGTGACCACGCTGCGCCAGGCACCACGGCAACGTGGAATTCGGCAGGAACAGCGTTCCTGCCCCACGCACGGGTCCCCGCTCCATTCGCCGAGCCTCACTCACCGAGCACCATCCCTGCCGTCGCCCTGGTCACCTCCAGGGACATCGTCCCCAACACCACCGCCGCCTTGTCACCCAACGTGCACAGACGGCTTCCTCAAGTCAGGCGTTGCATCATACAACGTAGTGTCGCTAGTGAGTCAGAAGAGCTTCCGGGCTCCATTGGTGACGGGAGGTGGGCGAGCGGCGCCAGAGCCGCCATTTTGGGTCAGGGCAGAGGCAACTTCCGGTCTCGAGAGAGCCGGGCCCTGGGCGCTCTTGGGGATCCGAGGGCGCCGCCCCACGCCAGGGCTTTACTGTCGCTCCCTTCGGTCCCCACCTTCCACACTTTCCTTTCTGTAACCTCCAGTTCTGTGCCTAGCTGTAGGCGCTACAAGTTCTGCTTCTGCCATGTTCAGCCAACTATGGATGGAAAAAAGAAACTCAAATTGTGCCTAACTGAGCATCTACAGATTTCCCCTGGTCTATTCCTAAATAATAACATCATGGCAACTACTTACAAGGCAGTTATACCGTCTACAGGAATCTGAAGTACGTAGGATGTGCGCATGTCAGGTGCAAATACTATGCCATTTTATACACGGGACTTTATTATCCGCGGATTTTATTACGGGGGTGGCGGTGTTCTGGAGTCAATCTCCCATGCAGACCAATGGATGACCATAACTCTCGGTGTCTGGTAGTGGCCCTTGCTAGCCACTAGGTTGCATTCATGGAAGTAACCTGTCTGGCTAGCACCATCCAAGGTACTTAGCACACAGCCCTGCGCTTAGTAACGGTCTCCCAGGCGCACAAGTCTCCTTTAGTGAGCTCTCCCTCCAGGAGCTGAGGTTTCCCTGCAGCATAGCTGAAAGAGCCACCGGCTGAGAATGAATGGCACAGTTCAGTCTCCTTATGTGGCTTTGGCCAGCCATGGGCGACCTCTTCTTGAAGTCATGTTCCGCCTCTGCTTCCTCCGAACTGTCCTGCTATCTCCTTTGGCCCCTCTTTGCATCGGCCTGTGTCACAAGCGTTTCTGTCCTTACTCAGGATGACCTCTACCGCTCACCGTAGCCAACCACGGATCTAGGTTAAGGGCATGCGACGACGACGACGCCATGTTGACTCCGGGCAACTTCTCTGTGGCCTTCCCTTGGTCCTGCCCCACTGACTTCCGGTTTCCGGGGCGGTAACTAAGCTTCCGGTGCGGCGGGAGGCGATGGGTGGCGCTGACTGTGCGGAGCGCGCCCTTCCCCGCCGTGTCCGAGCAAGCTTGCTGCCGTCTCCCAAGAGCATTCGTGTATTTTTCAGTGTTTTGGTCCTCAAAACAGACTTTGGAGAGAGAAAAGAGAAAAACCACTGTGAAATACCTCTAGCTCTTTCCCGGCCCTAGAACGGGAGTGACACAGTGTTGGCTTAATTGACGAATTGATTAAGCAATAAGAAAAATGTAAGTAATGTCTAAAGCCTGTAACTGCAAATAAAGAATGAGAATTATCATTACGGTGAAGCCAGCAATGTAAGGAACTGCGTATTTGGCTTCCCTTACGAAGTTAATTTTGTCACTCCAGATGAGCCCTTACTGCATGACTCCCGGGCTGCTTCGTGTTTTATGTCTGCTTGTTTGTGAGCACCTTGTCCTTACCCTCCCTAGAGAATTAAAAATAAAATCACTTTAAAGCCCTGTGGATGCCTTTTTAGAAGAATGATTAATACCTCGCGCTATTAGACTCTGAAGCCAAATATATTGCAAAATAACACAGGACTCTAATAATTTTCTGGCTCCATAACTGTGGTCAATACCTTAACCTCTCTGAGCTCAGGTGTTTCCATCTAAAGTGTTATCATCCTCTGGAAAAGCTGTCGTGAGGATGATAAGTGATCAAGCATACAAAAATGTCCACTGTGTGCTTGACATCCAGGAAGCCTTCTGAATTAGGATGTAAGTGGCACTGGTACTCGTTTGTTACTCTTTTGTCCGTGATGGTGCATGAATCAAATCTTCAACCATTCTGCTGAGGGCTGCTGCGGGGTTCCCCACCTCCCCCTCACCTCCCCACCCTGCGCCACCCACATCCACATAAATGGGCTTCCTGGCCAGGTTCTCAGAATGTCACAGACCCTCAGCACATTCCTTCCAGCCTCCCACTCTCAGCAAATGACCTGTGCCTTGCTCCAAGATGCTACATGGGAACTCAGCAACCCTCCCTGAAACCTACAAGCTTTCCATGCTTCCACACCCATCCTCCCTCTTGTCACCTGCCACATTTCCAATCTAATCACACTCCAGCCAGGGCAAACAGTTAGGAACATAGTCACAATCATTTCCTCCTCTATGGGGCAACTTCCATGACGCCCTTTGGCTCTAAGGAGCCACCCCACATCCTTACAGGTTCAGGGTGGGTACCTCTGCCTTGTCATTGTCTTCTAAAGGCACAGTTAATTAGCTCAGACTCATTTCTTCATGGAATTGGCCTGGGTGTAATGTGGGATTTGGAATGATGTTTACATTGAAGGTAATTACCCAATAGGATGAACTTCCCCCTGTCATATTTTTTCCACCTCGTTTATTATTTAATTATCGGACTTGGCAGTTTTCCTTTCCTTTTCTTTCTTCTGCTTCTTCTAGTCTGTTGTGAAAAGTCTATTACATTTTTCATTTCATTGATTCAAGTTTTTAGTTGCAAGATTTCTGAGTGTTTTATTATTATTATTTCTGTCTGATGAATTTCTCATTTGTATCCTGAAGTTTCTCACTTCTTTGTAGTATTTATTTCTTCTTGCTTCTTGCTGGTTTCCTTAGAGTCATAATTTTAATTTCTTTTTGGGCATGCCATAGATTTCTTTCAGATTAGATCCATTCTGGGGAATTACTGCTCTCCTTTGGAGGCGTCACATTTCCTTTTCTGTATCTGTGTCTTTACCTTGATGCCTGTGGTATAATGTTCATTTCCTCCAATGTATAAAGTAGCTTTTGTAGGGAAAGATTCTTTTCATTTAGATGAGTTACAAGATGTTGGTTAGATAAGTGCTCTGGATTTGCTTATATAAGAGCTCAAAAGCTAGTCTCTGTGATTTCTGCATCTTTGATGGATATCTGCAGTGTCTGCGGTATCTCAATAGTCTAGACTGCAGCAGTTATGACAGTAGTGTGACTTTGCAATGGACATAGGCTTCCAAAGGTGTGTGTCTTTGGGCTTCACAGAGGTGAGCCCTCATGGCACTGGGGCTTATGGTAGCAGCTGCCACAGTCTCAGTGGTTAAGGAGACTGCAGAATACTGTCTCCAGGTCCCTGAGGGCAAGCACAGATGATGCCAAGGTTGTGGCACCAGCAACCACTGGATGTGTGAGAGACCTTCCCCAGGACTCTCCAGAGGAACGTAGGAGAGGTCTGGGCCTTTGGCACCAGCAGGATGGGATGGAGTTTTCCCCTGGGCCTGCTGGGTGAACATAGGTGGTTCTAGGATCTGTGGAACCTTAGACTTGAGACTTTGGAATACAAAGCTCTTAGGTTTTGTGGGGGCAATTTTAGTTGGTGCTGGGGCTTATGCTATTAGTCACTTTGGGGAGCTATGGGATCCTGATGATACCTTTCCAGTTCCCAGGGGAAGAGTGCAAATAGGCCAGGGCTTTGGGCCTCAGCAGCTGTGGCCTAAAGCCTGTGGCTATAGAGGACGTGTTTCCTGGGGCTTCCAGGGCATTTGCAGGTAATGTTTGTGCTTGTGATGCTAGTATCCACGCTGCTTGAGGCATAAGGGAAGGTTGAGACCTTCACTAGGTCGTAGGTGGGGGTTGTGGAGCTGGGACTTGTGCTTTTGTATCTGTGGTCCTGGAGCTGAGGGCATAGATAGCAATGTCCCTAGGCCACATGGGAACAAGGTTTGGAGCACTGGTAGGTAGAGTCTCCAAATTGAAGAATACAAATGTCGCCCACATTGGTCCCCAGGGACTAGCTTGACTATTGCTGAGGTTTTTTGCATGAGCAGTTGCAAGGCTACTAGGGAAGGAGACCTTTCTTAGCCACCCCTCCCGATGCACAGGTGTTGGTAGGAGTTGGGGCCTCTGGCTGCTGCATCCTGGAGCTGTGGGGCTCCGCTGGGAGCTTTCCTGGCTCTTAAGGAGCAGATAAGGGTGAAGCAGGACTTTTTGCGGTGGCTATAATCCCCAGGGTGGGAGCTGGGGAGGAGACCTTCCTAATACCCATGGGGAAAGCTGGGGCTTGGGCTTGTGGCTGCTTCAGTGGCTAGACCTGGATGGAACTGTGTTCTATCCATTGAGGCACACAGCAGCTGAAGGTTTCTAGCAAGGCCAAGTGATCAGCTGCTGACCCCTAAGCCAAGATGATGTCCAGCAGGGGCTGCTTGTAGTTTTAAGTTCTAAAGGGTCCAAAGTGAGTGCCTCCTTTGGAGTAGAGGAGTCATTTTAGACCAGCCAGCTCCCCAAACTGAATTTAAAGCTTCTTGGATTCTGAGGTGCCATGGATTCTGCAGTTAGGATGCCACTCTGCTGTTAGGACAATGCTGCCACTTCTGCTTGGCAGCACTGTCACCCTTACCCTCCCAGCCCTAACTTAGGGGTCCCATAATTTATCTGTTAATTTCTAGAGTTCTCTCTCACTCACTCTCCCCAAAACACAGTTTCTTCTTTGCTGCCCCCATTCTTCTATGTGACAGCCTTATATCTGTCTCATCTCCATTAAAGTATTTTCACCCCAAGCCAAAATAGCCTAAGGAATAGCCTAGCCTTGGACAAAATTTAAGAGCCTTCTGGGTTATTTATTAATAAAATCTTTCAAAAATTTTTTTTGTGGTATTAGGGATAGAAGCCAGGATCTCGTGTATGCTAGACTAGCACTCTACCTCTAAGCTACATCTGCAACCCACTGTAGTAATAAAATCTTGATGCAAGTTTTCAGAATTTTGAATCATGACTCTACTTTTAGAATAGTTCTTTGTATTTTTTACCTTTTCAGAGGGCATAGAGTTTTTATGTTGGTCACACAAAATTCAAATAAGGAAGCTGAAGATAGGTGGGAAACCCCCCAGTGGATGGAAACCAGAAACCTCCTATAGGATTTCCATAGGCTGGTTTATTCATTATGCAGTTTGGCTCAGCAGAACTGTTTTATAATGAAACTGCAAGATGACTCCCAGTGGGCAAATCGACCTCTGTTCT